ATCACTGATATTCTTGGTGTTCAAATCACTGATATTCTTGGTGTTCATCTCCAACGAGATTTATCGGTGTTAACGCAGATTTTTTAAAAAAAATCACCATTTAATGGATTTTAGTGGATCATTGTTATTGTCCAGCCTCCTATGGAATTATCAATGAACTATAAAACAAAAAATACCCTTAATGATGGTTCATACATCTTATAAACTTAGTAACTGATATTGATTTTTTGAATTATATTAGCATTTATGGCAGTTGGCACATGAATTTTGCCAAATGCAATGTATTGTGAAATTTCCTGAAAAGCTCAAAGCTGCTCTAAAACAAGTATAAATAGTGCATGGCGAATACTAATCAGAATTTTGATATTGTGGTTTACTCTAAGGTGGGTATGCCCATCAAGACAGCTATTACAATTGTTGCAAGATAGAAATGACCATCAATGCAGCCCTAGCAGCTTTTCCAATCCTCAAAACGCTGGTCTTCTGGGCAGGGGAAGGATACTAAAATCCAGGAAAAAAAAATTCCTAACAAATTTAGCTGATCTGATGTTTTTCATTCGAAAGACATTGTGGCATAAAGCAACACCTGCACTTTATTTGTATAAATCCAGAAAGTACACACCAACTGATGGATGTGCAGCAATGTAAGTGAAAACGAGGGTGGTGGGAAATGCAACAAAATGAAAAACGTGCGATTTTGATCTAAAATTAGCTTTAAACAATTACCTTAAACAGACAACGTACGTACCATTATTTTTCCAAAACATTTCAGGACGTGAAAGTGTAATGTTCTTTTTATTAAGTAAAATTACAGGTCGTTCAGTTGTGTTTTGGAATGATGTTTTCCATTTATATTTTTCATTTCACTACTTCTGTTACAAGTTTTGCAAATACAAACTTGATAATTTTTTTCTTACCTCATCCGCAAACGTCTATCCCATTCAAGATCGGCCACTGTCGCCAAAGATAAGTCAGATTTTGTTTCCGAATAATATTAGATGCACAAGAGTGGCTATTTAAGTCTTAACTCTTACCGTGTGAGCAACTGGTAATGGGGATACGAGGACTAATAAGGAGTCAGGGCTATTGTCATTCTCATCGAGCCAGTTGGAAAATAGATTGAAACACCACCACAAACTTCGAGCACACAAATCAGGTTACCGTTGCAATGTAGTGCAGAGAATACTGCATTGTCGGAAATGTCATTCAGGTTAGACGTTAAACCAGTTCTGAGGAAGGGGTCACCGGCCCCGAAACGTTAACTGATTTTTCTTCACAGATGCTGCCAGACCTCCTAAGCTTTTCCAGCAACTCCTGTTTTTTTGCGATAACAAGGTGTAGAGCTGGGTGAACACAGCAGGCCAAGCAGCATCATAGGAGCAGGAAGGCTGACGTTTCGGGCCTAGACCATCGGCAGTTCCTACTATTTGGTTTTTTTTTGCCCCTGATTTACAGCAGCCGCAGTTGTTTCGGGACTTTTTTTTAAAAAAAAGACGTTACACCAACCAGCTCTCAAATGAAAGACCAGAATCCCCTGTTTTAAGTAGAGTTTTGCACTTCTCGGAGGTGAGGCAAACCACCTTATCACTCGCACTTCAGTTAAGTGCGAGATATTTTCTCCGCACCGAAGTAAAAAAAAACGCAAAATACTGCGGACGTTGGAGATCTGAAACAAAATGCAGAAAGCGCTAGAGAAACTCGGCAGGTCCCGAGCAGCGTCTGTGGAGGGAGAAAGGGAGTTAACGTTTTGAGTTGAAGCGACCTCCTCGTCGAGCCCATCCCCATGGACAGTGCACTTTCTGAACATTGGTGTTGTATCAGATAAACCCTGGTATCGATTGAAGTGACTGAAACGCTGTATGTTACCAAGACGACAGTGCGTGGTCGAGTCTCCCGCACATGCCCACTAGCCACCGGTTTAAAGGGCAGTAAGGGGGCGGGGCCTCTGGTGGACGCGGGACGTCAGTTCCGGTGGCGCGCGGCGCTCTGGGAAGGTGAAGCGGTTAAGGTCGGTTCCGCCGCCGGTTCGTCCGATTCTCTTTAGTGTTTGCCGTGTGTCGGCAGCGGGAAGCGGCTCCTCTTTCCTGCTTCGCAAGCGAATGGATTGACTCGTTTCTTCAGAAATTCGGCTTCAAGCTCGCTTTTTTGAAGAAAGGAGGTAAGTTTCGAGTGAAAAGTAGAGGCCGGGGAGGAGGCTACGGGGCAGCGGCCCCCAGCGCTCGGTCTGTCCCAGGACTTGGGACCCGGCGGATCCGGCCGAGAAGCTCTGGAGGAGGGCAGTCTGTTGCAGTGAGGATGACCAGGCCCCACTGCCATCTCGTGGGCCGTCTGAGATCCTTGTGAGGATCCTGCTCCTCCTGGGGCAGGCCACCAACTCAACCCGGCTGGTTTCTGAGTGCTGATCTGTCCCATATCACCTGGGCAGTCCAAACTCAGGGCCCATAGTTTTCCAAAATACTGACCATCATGCATCCATATTCCTAAAGTTGGCAAATCCTGTGCAAGTGTTAACACCACCTCTCCTTCCCCCGAGTATGCTAAAGAAATGTTATCTGTCCGAATGAAAATGCTTTAAGTGTTGTCATTGGCTAAATCGTGCTCTACAACTGAGAATATCCTAAAATTTGCAAATTCCAGACTTTTGGAGTGTAAACTTATCACATACCATCATTAGCAAAGTTCTTTACCCCGATAAATCAACCGTTTGTGTCTTTCCAAGCATCCTAATGTGGAAGTTTGGAACACAGTTCCCATCTTTTTTTAAACTTTGCTTACCAGTATTGGATGTCCAAACTGTGTTCCCCTGTTCATGTGCATTCCTGACCCTCAGATATAGTCTCCAAAGTCCAAGCGACTGCTTTTGGTTTTATTACTTCATGGTCTCTCTCAAGTTGTGAGCTTCGTTTTGTTTTAAGACACACCTTTTTAGTAATGCTTTTTTGGTCTGTAAATTATAATTCTGTTTTGGCTGGTTGGAATGTACACAAATTAACAGCTGTATGGATTTAAACTTTTGAGATTTTCTGCTTCAGTGCTGTCCAGATTGTTAATTTCCTGCTTGTGTTGATTTGTATATTGGTTTCATGGTAATTGTCGTGCAGGCATTATACTATAGAATTGTCACAGTTAATGCTTGTGTTAATTTTTCTTGGTATTTTGCAAATGTAAACTTCACTTACAGAATTAGGTAACCAGATGTCCCAAGTTACCATGTGTAGCAATTACACATTAGAAGCTTGTGGAAAGTTGGTGACAAATGGGAAGTTGAACATTATTGTAGAAGTTATGTATTCTGAATTTCTAAAGCTATTTGGCTAGGCTATGTGTCAGAGCCAAAAAAGTGGGATGTGCTCATTAAGTCTGGCTAAGATGATTATTTTAAGAGGCTTAAAGGATATGAAGAAGCAGGAATGTTTTGGGAAGCAGCAGTAAGGGAATGGTTAAATAGTCAAAGGCAGAATTGCTAATGATGATCAAAGGGACCAAAAAAGACACTAAACTAAAATTGGAAACCTCTGTGATGTGTTGCAAGGTTGGTAAGTGTTAGAGGAGTAGGGATGGGCAAAAGCAGAGCTTTTCAACAGTGAGGTAAGATTTTGAATTGTGTTGCATTAGCTAAAGTGTCTATAGATCAGTAAAGGTAGGATGGTATGCAAATAAAGTGGGGGATTGGATGTGGTCAGCAAGGGTTTTGAATAAGCTGAAGTTCTCTGATAGCCAAAATTTGGAGTGACTATGGCATGGGTGGGATTTTTTGAAGATCAAGATTTAGATTTTTTTTAGGTTCTTGCCAAGCATATTAAAGTTACCAAATCAAGGCAAGTGAGCATTGTGGTAAAAGACCAGCTATGATGCTGAATGATGGAAGAAACCTGAGCTGAATAGCCTACTCCTATTCCTGTTTGCTTTAAATACATAACAGGTGGTTGAACCTTTTATCTTGTTTTAAGTCCAGTAGTGTGTTTTTGCCGGCACAATCACTGAAAAAACCAAATTGCCCACTTGTACTTTTGATCACCTGTGCTTTTTATTGATGACTTACTGTGTCTTTTTTTGCTTATTTACTTCACCCCATTTCCTCTTGTAATTTCTAATAAATTTGCCATACCTCTTGGCGAGGGTTGTTCCTTATGCAATCAATTATTTGCATTTGGAGTGAAAAGTTCTAATTTTTGGTACAAAACACAACCATTCTCAGTTGTGATATTAATTAAGGACCAATATGTCATTTCAATGAATAAAATCTCCTGCGACAAAATTAAAAATGGAACAGAGAGCTCTCCTAATGCCCTACCAATATTCCCTTCAACCAAAGCTATCAGAAGTAAATTTAGCTATTCAGTCATTTGATATCTAAGAACATGAGAAATAGGAGCAGGAGTAGGCCATTCAATCGTCGAAGCCCATACAGTGAGATCATCAACCATTGTGGCTGAATCTTCCCCACACCATTTTCTTGCATTGTCCCAGTTTCCTTTGATATCATTAATATGTAGAAATGTATCAATTTCTGTCTAAGCTTCCACAACACTGGGACAGAGTATTCTGAAGATTCAGCACCCACTGAAGAAATTCCTTCTCAATTCTAAATGGCCTCCCGTTATTCTGCGACTCTTGTCCACTGGTTTTTGACCTCCCCTTGCAAGGACAGACATCCTCTTGAATCTACCCCGTCAACCCATGTGTATTTTATATGTTTGTATGAGACCATACTTCATTCTTCTCAATTCCATAAAATAAAGGCCTAGTCTGTTTAATCTTTCATTATAGTGCAATCCCCCATTCCAGAAATTTGGTGAACCATTGTTACACACACTCTTTGGTGAGAATGTCATTGGTAAGAGTACAAAAATGCATAACTACTCCAGGTGTGGTTTCATTTAAAACGTTATGTATTTGCAGCAAGATGTTTTTGTCCTATACTCAATGCAGTTGTAATTAAGGCCAGCACACCATTTCTCACCTTATTTGCTCACTATACCTACATTGTCAACTTTCAGTGACTCATGAAAAAGGATGCTGGAGTCCTTTTGACGTTCTCTACTTCCCAGCTTCTTGCTGTTTGAGAAATATTCTGTTTCTGTTTTTCCTACCAAGTGGACAATAATTATCCATTCCATCTGTCAATTGTTTGCCCATGCATTCAGCCTCTGTTGATGTGTCGTTGCGTGCCATCACGATTCCCAAGCAAAATTTTTGTAAATAATTTTTCTGCTATCAGTCAAAAGTAATCATGGGTTTTAAAATACTTCAGGATGTCCTGATGGAATGATAATTCAAGTTTTTGCTTATCAAGAGATAATCTTTCACGGTAGACTGACTTAGAACACTGGTGGAGGCAGTAGAGTGAAGCGTTGGGATCTTATGTTCGTGTGATTATGTTGCCATGTCAGAGTAAAGGCAGCGTCGTTCTGATTCGCATTTTTACAACTGATATGACTTAAGATATTAAATGTGTTATTTGAAAAGAGGCAGTAGGTACGGAATGCTACAGAAATTTGACCATGAACAGAACTAGATCAAAAACAATTCACTGACCAGAAATATTTGCCGCCGTTCTTTGTAAAAGTTGGTGAAAGTCATAATTGCAATAAAGATAACAGTTGAAAATCAATTTTGCAATGTCACAAACCTGGATTAGCCTTGTACTAAACTACAGTAGGGGGTCAGCAGGGCCACTGTTTCACCAAGACTAAACAAATCAAATTCAGTTTTTGTTGCAGTGTGATTCCAAAATTTTGTCTTTGTTTTGATGCTATATCCAAGTAATTTTTAACATAATTAATCCTACTGAACAGGGCCTACTTAGTTTGCACTCCAGGTCATAGGACTTCACTGCTGGTAGTTTTTTTTGGAGTTTCTTCAGAAGTGTCATCCCTTTTTTTTTCTTTGATGAAAACCCAGTCCTTGATAGTAATTAGTATCAAATCTACAGGAATATGGTGACTTGCCCTATGGATTTATGCTGGTATTTATGGGTCAAGGACTTCAGTGTGTAGAAAGTCTGGACCATCTGGAGTTTTTGTTGTTGGAGCAGAGGAGGTTAAGAGTTGATAGGACTGATCAAAATCAGAAATGATTTTCCTACAGGCAGTTAAAAAAAAAAAAAAAACTTTTGCATGCCAAAATGATCAGTTGTTCAGTTGTGCAGCGTCGTACATGGATTTAAGGTAATTGACCAAATGATCTGAGATGACATGAAATATTTTGTAAACCAATTCTCTTTTGTGGTTGGGAATGTACTGTCAGAAAAGATAGTGGAAGTTGATACGTCAGCAGTGTTGAAAAGCAAATTTGATAATTGAAGCGAAACACATTTGAGTAGTGGTTAATTTGGGTTATTGTACCAAAGGTTCGCAAGGCCAGACCACACCTTTCTATGGTGCAGTATATAATTCTTTGATCAGTCCATTTGGAGAGAAGACTAGATAGGCTACCCTTATTCTGAAAACACAGGAAAGGCAAATTGAAAGCGTATTGATTGCCATAATTAACAAATGATGACATATTGTTAGGTAGCGACCTGTTTTCTGATCTTTGTTTTGCTCCCTAGTATGAGAGCATCTAAGCTTTGATTTAATTTTTTAGCTGTCACTGCCTTGATAGTACGTATGCTGGTGAAGACAGACAAAGGTTCGTCGTGGTTGAATAGATTGCTGTGAATTAGAATGAAATTTTGGAAAAGAATGTTCCAAGTTCATTTGACCCTAAACCTGATCTCCTTACTGAATTAAATCAAGTACAAACAGGATGATGTTCCTACCACTTTTTTGCTCAATTTCTGCCCTTTTCCTCTCCTGAAGTTCCTTGGTATGGTATGCTGGTGCTCAGTACTTCTAGCAAGTGTTACCAGATAATGACCCAAACACATTAAGATCATTAATATCTGACACCATCCCAATTGAAATCCCCTGACTCAGCAAATTAAATCGAATATAACACCTTTATCTGTGGCCTGTTTACATATTGAATATATTTGTTTACTCAGCAATTTGTTTATGCTTTGATTTTTCATTGGAATTTTGTGTCATAGAGGTGTACAGCATGTAAAAAGACCCTTTGGTCCAACTTGTTCAAAGTTGCTGGAAAAGCTCCGCAGGTCTGGCAGCATCTGTGAAGGATAAAACAGATGCTGCCAGACCTGCTGAGCTTTTCCAGCAACTTTGTTTTTGTTCCTGACTAACAGCATCCGCAGTTCCTTTGAGTTTTATTTAGTTGTTCACGCTAGCCAGGTATCCTTAATTAATCTTGTTCCATTTGCCAGTATTTGGCCCATATCCCTCTAAACCCTTCCTATTCATATACCCAACCAGCTGCTTTTTAAATGTTGTAACTTTACCAGCCTCCACCACTTCCTCTGGCAACTCATTCCATACACACATCACTGTCTGCTTGAAAAAGTTGCCGTTTGGTCCCTTTTAAATCTTTCTCCCCTCCCTTTATACCTATGTTCTCTAGTTTTGGACTCTCCCACCCCAAGGGAAATACCCTGCTTATTCATCCTATTCATGCCTCTCATGATTTTTATAAACCTCGATAAGGTCACCTTTAGCCTCTGGTCCAGGAAAATAACCTCAGCCTATTCAGCCTCATCCTATAGCTCAAACCCTCCAATCCTGGTAACATTCTTATAAATCTTTTCTGAATCCTTTCAAGTTTGACAGCACCTTCTCTATAACAGGGAGACCAAAACTGAACACAGTATTCCAGAAGTAGCCTAACCAAGGTTCTGTACAGCCGTAAAATGATATTCCAACTCCTATACTCAATGACCAATAAAGGCAAGCATACCAAGTGCCTTCTTCACCTGCAAATCCACTTTCAAGGAACTGTGAACCAGCACCCCAAGGTCTCTTTGTTTTGGTTGACCTGACATTTATTCTACTTGCAGTATGAGACCAGGGATAAATCAAATCAAATTGGAATTGAGCTACTTACAGTGAATGTTGCAAAGCTTTAAGTTAATTTTTGAATCAGTCAAGCTGAAATCATATTACTACAGTCTGGATCTTGTAAACTGATTTAACATTGCACTTTTAGTGTTTGTAGAATAAATGTGAAATTATAAATGGTGTTTTCTGGAATGAAATTATTGGTGGAATAGTGTAGTAATGGAATCACCTTTCTTATTTGTTAATACACTGTGTACATTACTAAACAATGATATGTTTGTATGTTTTTCAGAGATCCTGCTACTGCATATTTCTGATCTTAACCAGCACCTCTGAATTCTTCCTATAAATCTAATCTAAGTTAATGAGTTGGAAGTGTGAAATGTCTCAAATTCAAGTTCATAACTCATCCTCCAGTCTATCGCAACCTCTTATGGGTAGCAATGTTGGCCAGAGCATTCCTTCTGGTATTGGTTCTCTGCCATCAGAAAATGCTAGTAGGCCCGTTCAAAGCTCCGCTTTACCTTCCATGTCTGCCACTTCCACTACCGCAGCTGCAGGTATGTACATATGTTAGAGTCATGGAGAAAATGCCTTTGGATGTGCAGGTTACTGATGAAAATTGTATTTAGCTGTTTATTTTGTTTTGGATTTGCTTGGTGGCAAGTGATGATAAATAACAGAATATTTTGTTTGCTTTTATGAGCAGTTTTGTGTTAAATATCTACCCGGAGGTAGCCATTATGCCCTTCACCTCCTTGCTGGCTCTCCAAGGGCAACTGATCTGGTCTTGCTTGTCAACTGTTTCTATAAAGCTCTCTTTTGAAGGCTTTGATCAAATGTATCTCCATTAAACTCTCAGGCGATGCATTGATCCTGCATAAAATTGTCTTTGTTTCTGTTGCCACTCACCCTAAATTGTTGTTTTCTGGTTCTCCATCTTTGCATCAATGGGAACAATTTCTCCCTCTCTACTCGATCAAGACTCCTCAATTTTGAACACATCTGTCGAATTTCTTAATTCTGTTCTTCAGGGCGAACATGCCTAGTTTCCCCAATCTGTCCACCTGACTGAGAACCCTGGGACCATTTTTATGAATTATTTCTGTAGTCTTTCTAATGACTTTACATCCTTTCTTCCTAAAGTGAGATGACCAGTACTAGGTGCAACTTGAGCTAAAGCAATATTTTATGCAGGCCTAAGATAATTCCTTCCTCTGCTGCTGTGGGCCCCAACTTAAGAACTCTTGAGATCTCATTTTATTAGCAGCTGTTTTCACCTGACCTGTCCCCTTAAATGATTTACGCACAGATAACCTAATTCCTTCTACCCCTGTACCCTAATTAAAGTTTACCTTTTTATCTTGCATTGGTTTCATCATTATTCCTATAATGTATATATACTCCTGCGTTATGTCTGCATTGAATGTCGGTCCATTCCACCATCGTAAGTTCTCTTGAAGTCTATCACTATCCTCCTCTCAGTTCACAATACCTAACTTGTGGCATTCAAAGGTTTTGGACTGTCCTCTCTCCTGCCAGGCTTGGGTGATCAAATAAATGAAACATTGACTTTTTAGAAACCCCAGTGTATATCTTCCTGCAGTCTAAAGACTAGTCATTCACCAGTAGTCTGTTATCTGCGACTGATCCAATTTCATATTCATGTTGCTGCTGTCTCTTTTATTTCATTGGTTTTACATTTGTTTAAAAAAAACCTGTTGTGCGACACTGTCCGATACCTTTTTGAAATCCGCATGCAACGCCGTTACTCTCATCCCCACCCTGTTACCTGACCAGAGATTTGATTGATTTAATTAAACACAGTTTGTTCTCAGCACATCTGTGCCAAATTTCCTTAATGCACGTTTGTCTAAATAATAATAAATTTAATAAAGTTAGTGTTTGAAATACCACCATGAGGCCAAACTAATTGGCCTACAGTTGCTGGGTTTATCCTCGCAACCTGTTTATTTTGAACAAATGGCCTGACATTTGGAATTCTCTGGTCTTTTGATACCACCTCTATAATCTAAGGAGGATTGTGGCCAATTCTCCTTCCTTGAATGCATATCATTTGGGCCTGGTAACTTATCGATGTTAGGTACATAACTGCTTGTGGACTACCTTTATCTATCTTCTTTTTATACAAAATGGCTAGTCTAACATATATTGTTCTTGAAACAGTGGCATTGAACCAGTACGTTCTGCACTATAATGTACAAGGATGGGTCATTGTTCTCTGGCCTTGTTCACCATATCGCTAACTTTGCTATTATTTTATAGGGACAGGCCCTTCCCCAAAAGTCAGTGTATTGGTAGAGGTTGTTTGGGTTGCTGATATTTGCCTCTCAATAGTGCAAATATGCTGTCCTTTTTCTGTTTTCTTCAAATGCTGCAGGAAATGCAGCATGTAAAGTTTTTCTTTGGAAAGCCAAATGTACTAACCAGTGGAACACTTGGCTGACGTCATGCTACATTAAGTGCAAAAAGCAGCTTGGATATCCTCTATGGTATTGTTTGTTACCTATGTTTTTGTCCATTTAAGCATTAACAATATCGTGGTTTATTTACTTGTGAAGTGATGACGAGGTATCCATTAAGTAATATACGTGTTAGGATTATATGAATTTGCTTAAATTTTAATCAATGAACGTGTATACTGCCTTCAGCATTTTCAAAGACTGTTTCCTCCTTGGGCATCTCTTGTACAATATTCTTTCTGGGTGTCAGACTCTCATTCCAATCTGAGTTGTCATTTCACCATCATTATATTACCTCAAGTAGTTTGTCCTTTTTATTTGTCTGCATGCTCACCTTAATTGTTTATTCCCTCTCCCATGTAACGCTGAATAACTGCTGTCTTTTGGTGACGTCGCCTGAGATCAAATGCACAGCCATGATTGGTTTTTCTGCTCTCCGTCGTCCAGAGCACCCTTTGCTGTTGCTGACGTCTTCAGATGCCTTTTCTGATGAAACAAAACTGAAGTCATTGCCTACAGATTTTGCAAATATTCAAGTACCATCCATGTTGGTTCCATGAATCTTTCCAACTGTTTCCTGCTTCAGTGTTGAACTTCTGTTAACTGCTGAACACGTGGTTCAGTCTCCTTTCTTAATCTACCTTGCCAGCAAAACTACTATTTTCACCTGTAATGTGGCTGTATCACCTTGCGCCCATCCCTGTCTTCCCTGTTTATTCAGTTTTAATAATTTAACTTTGAATAAAAGAACAATTTCTGGTGTACCTGTGTTTGAAGATCGGTTCACCTGAATATGACAATTTTGTTAATGAGATGGCAATTGGATTTTTTTTCAATCTTTTTACATAGTTAAAACTACAGTTTATACTGAGCAGTATTGTTTCCTTTGTTTTGTAATGTCTTTGGTCAAGTCCTTTCATTGGCTCTAATGTGATTAACGTAATCAACTTTATTTAATGTGATTGTCTCATCTAGTTTGTTATCAATGTGTTTGCACTACAGTTTGAACAATTCTATATATATTCATCAATGTGAAAATGTTTTTCAATATTTGAATTTTTAAAACTTCCAGCTGCGGAGATGTGAGCTAAAGTGGAGACAATTCCTTGTGCTGTTAATGGACAGCATAGTTTACTTCCTTTCCAAGAGTTTGTTGAGATAAATTTTGTGAAATTGCGAATTTTTTTAAATAATGGAAATGTAGTATCTGTTGTGTGAATTTGCTTTATTGAGGTGTCCAACCTCTTATTTTTGGTTGAATCAGTGTATACCATTAAATGTATTGTTGATTTATACTGACAGGTCTTAGTGATCTAGTTCAAAGTTAATATGCTAAGGGAGCAAAGAAACTAATGATTTGCCTTTTTCAAACAACCTTGCCACAGACTTCTTCATGAATTAATTTACAGATACGTAGGGCTGAAATGTCTGCTATAAAGGCCAGGTGGCTGGAATTGCTTTATGTGCAGTCAATCAACTTGCTTCCAAGATACCATAAAAATAGTTTGACTTTTATGGCACATTCTGACTGTATTCTGCTGTTTGCACAGCCACATGTTCTCCAGAATGCAATTTTCTCTAATCAGGGTTAATTATTAAATATAGGTTGTGCTCACCTAAATGAACAGAAATAAGATTATCTGTTTTATAATATTCATAATAAACTTGATCTACTCGTGAAAATCTATTACCCAGATGTATATAGGAAGAGTGTTTTGGGGATATGGAAAGGAAAGGCTGAATTACAGTTGTGCTGAGTTTTTGTGGGAGCCAACCCCATCCCAGATCAGTTAAACCAGAGCCAAACTGGCTGTGGTTATGTATCAGTTGGTGAGAGAAGTAAGTATTTTTATTGAAAGCATTATCACTTGTTCGCAAGGTCATAATGTCTTTCTTGGGCATATAAGAGTATCTTGAATATCTTGAATATTGAAGCATTTCACAATTTTTAATGTTTGTAAAATTAATCTGTACTGACAAATGACTGCTGCTTGGAAGATGTTGAGTGTTATAACATTTAGTAGCAATATTAAAATAAGATTGTGACTTAATTTATTTTTCAGTTCCTTCAAACATGGCAAACCCCAAAGAGAAAACCCCTATGTGTCTTGTGAATGAGTTAGCCCGTTTCAACAAGATTCAGCCAGAATACAAACTGTTAAATGAACTTGGTCCAGCTCACGCAAAGGTGAGTAGAAAACATTAATGTTTCTGTCCTCTTGGCTTTGATAGGTATCCATTCCCAACCTTTAAATAGCTTATTTGAAACTAAATTGTGTATTCTGCAAATTTTAAAGTTGAAAATGCTACAATTTCTTCAACTATTTAGGGTGAGAGCAATGCGAAGGCTTTGTGCCTTTTCAAAGTGCTGAAATTAACTTTTTAGCTCAGTTTCTTGTTTATTTTTTGTCCAGATACCCATGTTCTAGGTTGCAATTTTCCATTTTAAAATTTCTAACAATTTAATCCAACTTGGCAGGCTGGAAGATGCACTTACAAAATTTTGAATATTTAGTGCATACCATTGTATCTTGATGAGTCTGTACCTTGTTTATTACTAGGTGAGGTTGAGTGAAATTTAGATTTGAAGTACATTGACCTTTGTGTTGGTGAGAGAGCAAATGTTTAAGTAATCTCAATGTGGACACTGATGATGAGGAAGTACGTGGCTGAATAGACAGCTTTTCAGTACAAAATTGAAATTAAGTTCTCTTCCATCCACTTGGGAATAAAATCTTCCGCTGCTGCCACACCCGTGCGCTCCCCCGCCACCCCCATAAGCCTTTTGTAGTGAAGTCAATTAGAATTTAATGGACCAGACGTTCTTGGTTTCACTCCATTTTCAAAATTGTGGGAATTTAAGATTTACAGCTGTTTGTATAATCCAAATTAATTAATTTCTGAGATAGTAGGAACTGCAGATGCTGGAGCATCTGAGATAACAAGGTGTAGAGCTGGATGAACACAGCAGGCGAAGCAGTATCAGAGGAGCAGGAAGGCTGACGGTTTGGGCCTAAACTCTTCTGAAGAAGGGTCTAGGCCTGAAACATCAGCCTTCCTGCTCCTCTGATGCTGCTTGGCCTGCTGTGTTCATCCAGCTCTACACCTAATTAATTTCTGACTCCTGGCAATGAGCCAAAGTGCTGCTAGTAGGTATTTATGCCATTCATATCACTTCCTATGCATCGGCTACCTGTGATGAAGGGTGAATCAAGAAATATGGAATGGTCCATTATGATCCTCTTGGGGGAGGTAGTGGACCATCCTGTTCACTTCCCCATCAGTAGTTAATTTTCCACCTGTGTAGAATCTCTCTTTGGGGGGGAGGAAAAACACAAAATGGTTACAAAGCTCACCAGCTCTGGCAGCGTCTGTCGGAAGAGGACAGAGTTAATGTTCTGGATTTGGTACTCTTCATCAGGGTTAGCGGACTCAATGATAACCGCGCTTTCTTCCCACAGATACTGTCAGACCTGCTGTGTTTCACCAGCAATTTCTGTTTTTGTTTCAGATCTCCAGCATCTGCAGTGCTTTTTATTTAAATTTTGGTGGGGCAAAGGTTGATGATCTGATGAAATTGATTCTCTAACATATTCTCCTTAACACCGTCTCAGTCCCAGTAGCTCCCAATCAGTTTACAAAACATTCTATTGCATTCTAGTTTTTTCTCTTTTTTGTCCAACCATTTGCTTTTCTGCTTTTTATATACCCAGAAATTGGTCCTGTTGTACAACATAGGGTTGGGAGGGAAGCCTAAGCTTTTGTTCCCAGTCATTGGATTTGTTGGGAAGACAACATGCTGGACGTCAGAAAAATTAAAAGCTTGATGAACGTGTCTCCTGATTTCTGAGACTTGTACTTTCTTTTTCTAAAAGGAGAGAAGAATAAAGTCAGCAAAAGAAATCAAATTACAGGAGGAGTGTTTGGGTTCTGTCATGGCTGAATGGAGCATTCACACTAAGCTATACAGCTTTGCACAATGTTTTATTTAGTCCCTTGATTTAGTAGAGTGTTATCTGGAGAAAGAAATCACCTAAGGTTTCCCAAGTTATATTTGTCTCATGACTGCTGCTGATTGATGAATATGTAGTTCTCATTTCAGGGCATGGATTTGTTATCATGCTCTGGTTGAATGACAGATTGATGTTCATTGCTTAGATTTGTTAGAATTAACAATAGAGCGTTATCCTGAAGGGTCTGTCTCCAGTGTTATTCAATTAAATTGTTCTTTTATTCTAAGTTAAATTTGGGTTTCTTTGCACTGAATATCAAAATTTACTGAATGAGATGATAAGTGGGGTTTTTATCTTTTAAATAGCTTTTGGAAAGGAAGAAGAACATTTTGAGGGGGATTTTAAAATTTAATTGCAAGGAATTATTTTGTGCTAATTGACTACTCTTACTCCAAGTCATCCTATTTGTGTAGCCAAAATCCATCTGTTTTGAAGTTCAGAAGGTTTTTCGGTAATGTTATTGATTTTTGTTTTGAAATGAAACTTCAAATCTACACGCTAAATTAAAATTAATCATAATATGATTTAGCACTGAATTTTTTGACGTCTTGTAAATTTTGCTTTTAGGTTTTTACAGTGCAGCTGACACTTGGTGACCAGCACTGGGAAGCTGAGGGAAGCAGCATTAAGAAGGCTCAACACGCTGCAGCTGCAAAAGCCTTGATGGAAACCAATCTCCCAAAACCACCACCTCGTCCCCCACGTAATGATTCAAAAAATCCTGGTAAAAATTAGTTTTAGTAGAACAGTCACTGAAAGAAGCGATATTGATCACTGTTTTGACAAACCCTGGTAAAAGTCAAGATTAAAATCATTAGTATTCCTTAAAATGTAAAGTCGAAAGTAAAGCTACAGGTGCTTTATTTTGAGAAGTAACATTGTGAATTTGATTTGGTGAATTATTTTCACACTGTCACTTTGTGATAGTTGCTCACAAACCAATAACTCCTTGCCAGATATTGTACAGCAAGTTGAATAGTGTGTATGTAATCTTGAAGTCAGGGGTGACACTAAATTGACAATTTTATTTGTATTTTTAGACAGTGTAACTCCAACAGTAGAACTGAATGCCTTGTGTATGAAAATGGGAAAGAAACCAACCTATAGACCAATTGATCCTTATCCTGGATTAAGGCCGACCTACAATATGCTGAGAAATAATGCATATCCTCAAAGGTATCAATTGCTAAGTTTTGTTCTCTTCTACCTATCACAGCAAGGATGATTTATCTCTTAGTTATCCATACTATACAGTGCTTGAAGGGACAGTGCTATTAAGGTTTCTTAAGGTAGATTAAGGACTTTTTTTATTTGAAAAGGTAGCTATTGTTATCTTTCAGGACGTCCTTGGCCCATAAACTCTTGTGGAATGAATATAATATCAAAAGAGCTCTTCCAATAGCCAGCAGATTTTTAAAAAATTACACCATGCAGGTTAAATACTGCGGCGTTCAGTTCTTGTTCTCCACTGTTCTTGGTTAAGGTGTGATTGGATGTTACAACATGGCTTTTGTGGTAGGGGGATATCAGCTTTATATTTTGCTTTTGAGCATTGTTTGCTGTCAGAAAAAAAGCTGTTGTTTGCCAGATTGCTCATGACCTGTAGTTGTGCTGATCATTTCTCATAACCAGGTGCTTGGCTTGGGGAAGTCCGATTATGTAACACCTGTGGTCAGGGGAGGATACAGTCAAAGAAAATTTTTATCTATGTAAGATAAGAGAAGAAGCTTTGTGATTTAAAAAATCCCATTTTATGCCCTTGTGATATTCCAAAGGGTTTTGCAACCTGTGGCTTTTCAAATCTTGTCATTGCTTTCATGTAAGCAGCTAAAACTGCCAGTTTGTATAATATTTGGTGAAAAATTTGAGTTTTGTTTAGTGTTGGACAGATGAAAAATTTTACTAGGTCATTGGAAAAGCTCACTATTGTTTTTTGAATAGGATTGTGAGATCTTTTATGCTTGTCAGGGATAGTTCAGTTTGGTCCCTTATTAAAGCTGGCACCACTTTTAGATGCAGAGCACCCACTCTTTTTACTACAGTGTAGTGTGTTCAATTTTAGTCAAAAATCAACCAAGGCATTTGAAGCAAGTTGAAACTAGTTTAAGGGGAAAGGGGGAGAGACTAGAGATAGAATGTGAAATGTAGTATAAAGTGGCATGGTCTTTGGTTGAATAAAATCATGAAGTGATTACAGAAAGAGGCCTTTTGGCTTGTCAGGACTGCGCAAGCTTCCTCCTAAAGCTACACTGTTAGTCCTGTTTCCTGATTGCATCCCTGTGCACTAGCATTTTCTTTTCTCCTTCATTTTCCTTTGGAAAGCCTGATTCATTAGATAAGGGTGTGTATTCAGAATCAATACATTTTGGAAAAGAGATTTGCCTCCTCTCTCCATTGCTTTTGTTGATTAACTTGAATCGGTATGCATTGCTCTGAATTCTGAGGATCCGTTGTGATTTTTAATTATCCCAATCAAATCTGCTCACAACTTTGACTTCCATAAGGTGAATACTGCAAATTTGTCCAATCCGTCCTCTTAACTGAAGTCTCCCTTATCTAGAAACATTCTTGTAACCTTAATTGCATTTTCTCCAGTGCCTTTGCATTGTTCCTCCAATGAATTGGACACATACTCCATTTTCGGTGAACTATTGTCTTCTGAAGGTGAACCATAACTAAATTGTGTACCCAGTGCCTCTTTCTGAAAATCCAAATGCCCTGTATGCCTCAGACAGCTTTCCAATCTGTCCTGCTATCTTGAGCAATTCTTCTGCCCCTGAATTTCTGTGAGAATTGCACTCTTTATGTTTAATGTTGCTTCTTCTCAATTTCACTACCAAAATGTATCACTTTACAATTCCCTACATGAAACTTCATCTGCTATGTGACTCCACTTCCACCAAATTGTCTGATTTGAAGTTAGTGCTCATCACATGTCACAATACTTCCAAGTTTTGTCATCTACAAGTTTTCAAGTCATTTGGTACACCCAAGTGTATCCAATTGATAGATGTTCCAAGCAATGGTCAAAAATACTGACCCCGAGGAACCCCAATATCTGCTTTCCTCCACACAAACAATCATTCACCACTAAATAAACACTGAAAGAACTGCAGATGCTGAAAATCGGAAACAAAAACTGAAGTGCTGCAAAAGCTCAGCAAGTCTGGCAGCAACTGTGAAGAGAAATCAGAGTTAATGTTTTGGGTCTGGTGACCCTTCCTCAGAACATCTTTCACCATTACTGTTTCCTGTCAGTCAGACAACCTCTTGCCCATTAAGCTACTGACCCTTTTATCCCATTAGCCTTGACTTTACTGACACAGTTGCGATGTGGCATTTCATGCCTTTTTGAAGTCCACGTACATTGCATCTATTATATTATATTCTTCATCCCTCTGGAATTTGATCAAAATAATTCAAACCTGTTTAAATAAACACCTGTTTTCCTTCACAAATTTCTGCTGGCTTTGCATGATTAATTCATTTTTTTTAAAGTGACTAAATCTTTAGAAATGAAGTTCTGGACCAAATTCACCAATTATTTAAATATAAAAACAGCCATTTGGCCCAACAGGCCCACACCAATGTTTTAACTTGCCATCTGGATCTCTGATCTAACCCCATCAACAAGTTCTCCTATTTCCTATGTGTTTCAGTCTGACCTTTGTACCTATAATTTGCCTGAAATACTTTTCTGTTAACAAATTCAATAGTATAGTCATTCTCCACGTAAATAAACTTGAATTCACTGTTGAATTTATTCACAAATACCTTTATAGTTATAAGAACATAAGAACTAGGAGCAGGAGCAGGAGTAGGCCGTCCGGCCCTTCGAGTCTGCTCCGCCATTCAATAAGATCATGGCTGATCTTCTCATGGACTCGGATCCACTTACCCGCGTTCTCACCATATCCCTTAATTCTTTTATTGTTCAAAAAAAATCTACCTTATCTTTAAAAACATTTACTGAAGTAGCGTCAACTACTTCACTGGGCAAGGAATTCCATAGACTAACAACCCTCTGGGTGAAGAAATTCCTTCTCAATTCAGTCTTAAATCTGCTCCCTCTAATCTTGAGGCTATGCCCTCTTGTCCTAGCTTCACTTGGAAACATCCTCTCTACTTCTATCGCATCTATTCCCTTCATAATTTTATATTTTTCTATAAGATCCCCCCTCAATCTTCTGAATTCCAATGAATATAATCCCAATCTACTCAGTCTCTCCTCATAAGCCAATCCCCTCAACTCCAGAATCAACCTAGTGAACCTCCTTTGCAGCCCCTTCAATGCCAGTACAACTTTTCTCAAGTAAGGAGACCAAAACTGCACACAGTACTCCAGGTGTGGCCTCACCAGCCCCTTGTACAGCTGCAACATAACTTCTCTGCTTTTAATCTCAATCCCTTTAGCAATGAAGGACAAAATTCCATTTGCCTTCCTAATTACTTGTTGTACCTGCAGACCTACCTTCTGTGATTCATGGACAAGGACACCCAGGTCCCTCTGCATAGCAGCATGCTGCAGCTTTTTACCATTCAAGTAATAATCCTTTTTACTATTACTCCTACCAAAATGTATGACTTCACATTTATTTACATTGTATTCCATCTGCCAGACCTTTGCCCACTCACTCAATGTATCTATGTTCCTCTGCAAAGTTTCACAGTCCTCTGCACACTTTGCTCTGTCACTCATCTTAGTGTCATTTGCAAACTTTGACACCCTACACGTGGTCCCTAACTCCAAATCATCCATGTAAATTGTAAATAATTGCGGTCCCAACACCGATCCCTGAGGCACACCACTAGTCACTGACTGCCAGCTAGAATAGCACTCATTTATCCCCACTCTTTGCTTCCTGTTAGTCAACCAATCCTCTATCCGTGCTAATACTTTACCCTTAACGCCATGTATCCTTATCTTATGCAGTAGCCTCTTATGGCACTTAGCTGTGATCAGACCCTCAAATAGAAACATTTTGACTTGTACCTGATCATTCCTCAGTTGCCTTTACTGGAGAAAAGCATCTTTGTCTGTTCTGCTGTTACAGATGGATGTAATCTTGTCATTCTGGTATCATTTTGCATTTTTTTGCTCTTTGTCGACATCCTTATAATATAAAACAGGACTGTTTAGTCCTCCAACTGTGATCTAACCAAGGTTATTTCCAAGTGTAATGTTAAATTCAAGAATGAAATAATTTTAAAAAGCTAACCCCTGTGCTTTTTTTTTTTGCGAAGTCCTCTTGATCAGCCTTAAGGCCTTTATAACCTGCAATGATGCATATCTTCAGAACTGATATAAATGTACAATGATCGCCTTTTGGCTTGGTGTTTTTGAGAATTGAGATTTTAAGACTTTGAGTCTTTCCTCAGGTATTTTTACCCTTTTCCCCCTGTTGGACCAGTCACTTACCAAGTTGAACTTGTAATTGGAAATCAGCAATTCCAGGGAAAAGGAAGATCAAGGCAGGCAGCTAAACATGATGCAGCTGCCAAAGCACTCAAAGCATTGCAGAATGAAACCCTGCCATCCAAATTACCAACTGTAAGTATTTTCATTTTGATTGGAATGTAACTTGGTTTTAAAGAATCGAGTCAATTTAGCTTATATTGTTGGAGAATGTCATGTGAGCTGAGATTTATATTCATATCATTTATTGCAACTTGGATTTGGTTTTTAAGTTAGTAATCTGAAGGTTTTGTATGTTTGAAGTTAATTAATAACTTGTAAGTAATTCTGCAGCCGTGGTGATTTCTTTTAAGACAGTTTTTTTTAATGGTCTGACTTCAGTGTGAATGGGTTTGTGTGCACCGCTAATGGATTTTTTTGTTTTATTTTAGATTATTTTGTGACCTAGAAAGGTAAATAATAAGGTCTCATGGTTTGTTAGAGATTTCTGGATTTTTAAGCTTAAGAGAAGCACTTATTTCTCAAGGGTTGGTTTCAGTTTTTAAGTGCTGTGAATGGGATTGCTGTGTAGACCAGGAAGAGAGGAAAGGATATCTGATGAACTAGGTTGTTAGTGTAGTCCCAGACCAGAATTGTTGATAAAACCCTGAAGCAGTTACTTAAAACTGGGTACTTTTAAACAAGTGTACAATAACTCCAGGAATAAGCCATCTGCAATTCTGGTTTAAAGGTTGATGTCACAAACAGCTTAAACCTACAAAGGTGTTAAATACAGGTACTCTGATGTGAATGTTGAATGAGTCGTGCTTTGGGTACTATACAAAAGCTGTTTCTCTTCTCTTCAATTTATAAAGGAGTTTTGGAACTAATGGGATCTTACTTTTACTATGTTTTTAAAATCTTTAGTTTTGCTTTATAAATGGTTTTGTTCCTTTTACTACTTTTTTTTATTAATAAACTTGTTTTATTGTTAAAGCCGAATCTTATGTTTCCATGAGACCCCATTTCGATAAAACTAAAACAAATAAAAATATGATCTGTCACGTCAAGTTTCAGTCTGTGATCTGACGGGTCCAGTAATAATATCAAATGCTGCATTTATGTTTATAGATGTCAGTTTCCAGTCATATCTGGAATTGAGGTTCCAGATAGAGGCCTGTTTAGCCTATGTTTTAAATGGTTTGTCCAGTGAGATAGATACCCCCCCTCTTGAAATGTTAAGTGTGGGCGAACAGTTAAATCTGTATTCTATAAGCGTTGTAATTAGCTGCAGGTAGGATGTTTGAAAAAGTACCTAGCCACACTTGAAAATAGGAAAAATTCAATCCAGATGTGGGTACATTGTTGTCAAGAGCTCAAATGGATAGCGGGGATAGTAGGATCTGCAGATGCGGGAGAATCTGAGATAACAAGGTGGAGAGCTGGATGAACACAGGCCATGCAGCATCAGAGGAGCAGGAAAGCTGACGTTTCGAGTCTGGACCCTTCTTCAGAAATGGGGGAGGGGAAAGGGATTCTGAAATAAATAGAGGGATGGGGAGGCGAATGGAAGATGGATAAAGGAACAGATAAGTGGAGAGGACACGGACAGGTCAAGGACGTGGGGATGAGACTGGTAGGTAGGAAGTGGAGGTGGAGGTTGAGGTGGGACGCCCACCCCCACCTCTACTTACCAGCCTCATCCCTGCCTCCTTGACCAGTCCATCTTCCCTTGACTGACCAGCCCCCATCCTAATTCCCCACCTACACTCACCTTTTATTGGCTCCATCCCCGCCTCCTTGACCTGTCCGTCTTCTCTCTACCTGTCTGCTCCTTTATCCATCTTCCATCCGCCTCCACCTCTCTTTATTTCAGAATCCCCTGCCCCTCCCCCATTTCTGAAGAAGGGTCCAGACCCAAAACGTCACCTTTTCTGCTCCTCTGATGCTGCTTGGCCTGCTGTGTTCATCCAGCTCTACACCTTGTTATCTCAAATGGATAACGCCTTTCTTTAAACAAAATCCTTCAATTTTGCTATCCTGAAAGACAGCATAGAGCCAGGAAGTTATGTTGAACTTTCCAAAACGTTAAGCTTGCTGTTGGAGTTTCATTTTGAGGACTCAATTATGAGAGTATAATTGAGAAGTGACCTGATAGAAGTTTAGAAAATAATGAGAGGTATAGATAGTTAATGGTAGTTGCCTTTTCCTTAGGATAGGCAATTACAAGACTAGGGGACACATTTTTAAGGTGAGAGGAGAGAGGTTTAAAAAAGGCATGAGACAATTCTTTTGTACAGGGTGGTTTGCATGTAGAATGAATTTTCCTGAGGAAGTTGTGGATGCGGGTACAATTAAAACATTTAAAAGACATTTGGATAAGTACATGAATAGGAAAGATTTGGAGGGACGTTGTCCAGGAGCAGGCAGGTGGGCCTAGTTTAGTTTGAGATTATGTTTAGCATGGACTGGTTGAACCGAAGTGTCTGTTTCCGTGGTGTATGACTCTATAAAAGGAGTGGAACAGGAAAGCTTAGATTCATGAGAACGTCACCAGGTTATATTGAGCTGACAAGCACCTTTTTAATATTGAGTTGTAACTTAGTAGATGTTGATATATGTAGTAACCACTAAAAGGAGTAAGAATGTTTTCAAATCTGCAGCTCGGTGCTACGGCTCTTCATTATTTCTACTCTTAACTATCTGCTTATAGCTGAAGCATCTTTTGCAACAGCTTCTCTTGCAGCCCTGCTCTTTTACCTTTTTTGTCACTCAAGTTTGGTCGGCTTTCACGAAGGCTCAATTCAGCTTCAATGTTTTTGTCAGTACACACCTACTGCCTGTTATCTCATTGTTCTGCAATATAAGCCCTGTATACTCTCTGCCAATCCTTTCTACTCCTCCGATATTGTCTTGGACTGAACAAAACTGGTTGTAATTTACACATCTGATTCCAAGCTGATCTTCCAACTCCATATTCTCTATTAAAAGACTGCCTACCCATCCATCCACCTCTGACTAACTCCCCCTATCTGTCAAGGTAACCCTCATTTCTGCATTTGTCACTTGCATTGTAATAGTGTCCTCCTTGGATTTTCGTTCTCTACTCTAGTCATGACTCAGAAAAGCTGCCATAATCTATCACATGTGCTTGCATCCATTGGTTACTAATTTCCCTTGTGCCATCAATTTAAAATTCTTATCCTTGTGTTTGAATCCTTTATTACATTTATAGCCTTGTATTAAATTACCTTTCAATCTCTCTTTCTTAGCCTGCTGTCCCTTCTCTGCAAACTCCCTTGTCCTCTGAAGAACAAGCAGCAGAGTGAGATTAGATTAAATCTAACATCTTTTGAAAAAAAGAAACACAAATTTGAGTCAAATTGTTGAGTGGTGGCATTCCACGTCAGTTAAGGTAGTTCAGACACACTAGTGATAGTTTCAATATAATATTTTCAGAAAAAATTCTGAGTTGAATTGTAGTATCATAGAAGGTAACAAACTTTAATTAATTCAAATGCTTTTCATGCCCATGATCGTGAATGAAAGAAGTGTTTTAAAAATTTCTGTTATCACATTTCATGCTAGTAACTACAGGAATGTTTCCTTTCAGATCAATGGAAAAGAAACAGATGATGATGATCTCAATAAATCTGAAATAAGCCAAGTTTTTGAGATTGCACTGAAAAGAAATATGCCTGTGAACTTTGAAGTAAGGTTTTCACAAATGGCTTAATCAATTAGCATATCAATTAAACTTTCTGGTTCTTGGCAAAATCTAGCTGCATGAAACCTTTCATAAGTTGATATTGAAATGATTAAATTTTGTCCTTGTAATGTTTTTTTTGAAATGCAATGAAAGAAATTGGACACTACTTGGTTTAGGAAGTGAAAGCTGTGGAAACAATCTAAATGCTTCATAATTAGAGAAAGCATCTTACTGCTGGGTCAGCTCAAAAATTTGTTTCAACTGCCTCTGGAATTATCTGCCAGTGGAAAAATCATGATATTCAGTGTATCACAGTGTGGAATCACTTGCCTTCCTGGTCAATTATAGCAATTACAGCAAGATACAGGATGCCAGAAATGTTTTTTTCAAGGGTACTGAAGTTCCCAGTGGTCCTATGTTATTTGGGCCTTCCTTGTGTTGGTCAGGATTCAAATATTCATAAAAGTAATATGTTGGTGTTTAGTTTTGCTGCTTCTGCTTAGTCGTGTGGGCTGTGTGGTGAGACTTTCAGTACCATGTAACTTTTCCCTTTTGTATAAGTAGAATTCACAACAACAGTGGCTGAGATGTCTGTGTGCTGCACAGTTTCTTGTCTCGTGCCTATCCTCCACATATTAAATCTTTTAGAAGTGCATGGAACATTAACTGAAGCCACTGGACAGAAAGTGTTGGGAAGTGAAGAAAAATATTCCGTTGATACATCAATACTGTTTAGTCAGGTCCAACTGGAAAAGTTAAGCATTTCAAATTCCACAATCCAAATTCAGTTTGCCATTTTGGTTGTTAGATTGCGTCTTACATTGATTGTTTTTATTATTCATTATACTAAATTGAGGTGGGGTGCATCTTTATTGAAAACTCAGTTCTTGCAGCATCTATTAATGCTGAAAGTGGCAGTCTGAGTATTTTCGTTTAGTGAGTTTGTACCATCAAAGTTATATAATCTGACTGCTGAGTCCCATCAATGCTCAAGCTTTAGTTTTCTGAAATTAATGTCATCTTGCAGATTTGATTTTTTTTTGTTTTTTAAATGGCAAGTTCCACGAATTATTCTAAATATATCTGTTAGCATTGCCTTTGGATTTGACGACCTCTGCCTCACTGGTATATCAATGCCTGGGACTAGACTTTGACATGTTGTCCTCAGCATGTTCAAATGCTTTAATTAGATTTAAATATTTAAAGTATTTCTGGAAAAAAAATCTAAGGTTATATGAGCACCTTGCTTTTCTATTTCAAACCCACCTGCCTGTGCAAGGGAGTATACTAATTATATGCTACACTTCGATTTTATCTCCTAAACTATGCCCAACTGAAAGGAAGAAAGAGGCACACAAGTTGCACTTGTATTCATTCTTAATTTTAAATCTTCAGTTTTCAAGAAACTGTTCCCTGTCAATTGGGCAAAAGTGAATAATTTATGCCAGCAAAACCATTTTAGGCAGTGAAAGAGATGACCACTTTGCCTAGTAAATTCAAATATATTTGTCTTAAGCTGATTTTTAAAGTTAACATGCTTCTTTAGAAGGCAAGTTAAATAGAAAAGAGGAGGTAAGTGGAGAGGGTCATTTAATTAACACTTGTTGGTATTGAGAGATGGGGTATGGAGGGGTTATGGATTTGAGTTGGGTCTCAGAAGAAATTGTAAAAATGAGGTGATGAAGAAAGATTATCTTTATGGGACTTGATTAGCAAAGCAAAGGTGAAATTAGAGTACTAATTACCACATTCTGTCTGCAAAATCCCACACCAGATGCCACTAGTGCTGGCGGTGGTTCCTTTACCAGACGCTACTATAATCACCATCCAGTTTATTCTTGAAGGAGACAAAAAAGTCATCTGGGAGGGAGAAGAGACAGCAGAAGCAGTAAAAGTTGGACCATTTTCTTGCCTGCATTGCTGAGGAAGAGATGTGAGGGCATGAGGTATAGATAAGGGGTTTTTGTTTTATGTGAAGTAGATGACTGCATTTATTTCTGTTCTGCTTATCCACACTGCTTATCTATGCATCTTTGTCTCATTGGCAGCTACGCTGATTTGATGATTCTACCTGAATGACATTTTTGAAACCAAACAAAGAATTCATTGATTCAGAGAATGCAAAATTGTGGCCTATGTTGTCATTCCCTTTTATACCCATTAAGTGCAGTCAAAATATTAACCTTTTAGTTTTTAATTTCTCTTCAAGTGGATTTAGTTGGGATATGTTTTGGTACCTTTGATACTTGTCATTTTTTTTCAAGAAGCTGAAGCAGCAATATATTGAATTTGCATTGCTTGTCAGTTTGAATCTGTTATGTGTCATTATGCTGACATTTCTCTCAAATGTTATGAACACTTTGTTTTAATAAATGTACAAGGTCTAATCTGACTGGCAATCCTCCAACTTTGTTTAAATGTTCACAGTTACATTTTTGACTTTTCTATACCTCTACCTCTACTTTCTAAATCTCTGTCTTGCATGATTCTGTAACTCATCACCTGCAGAGGTAAGGTTCTTGTATTGTTGTGCATCATTCATTTTTACGCCACCTAGTATGAAAGTGACCTGCCTTTAAGAAGCATTGAATGCATGTCACTGACTTCCATTTTAGCATCATGGGTTGTACAAATACTTTTGATCGGGGTAGTTCCAAGAAATGTTTTCTGAAGGTGGTTAACATAACACAAAAGAAATTTAATTCACGAATGCATGTATCATGTTGGTTTCCAAAATGTAAATACACTGGATAAGTAAAGATGAGAATAGCTGCAGTGATGCTGAATAATGGCTTCTGGGTTGTACTTGTGATTCTCCACTGAAATTCAGTCATTTTTCAGTATAGGTTATGTAAGCAACCCTGTGCCCTTCTTTTTTTAAAAAAAAATAACATGACCATATTGAACAATGTTGTTAGTTATGAGCATAGGCTGTCTGCCATCCTCTTGCTCTTTTATGGATGCTGAAAAATGGGGATTTGAGCTTTCTATTGATTTTTGACAAAAATGAATGAGTACGAATGAGCCAATGAATTGCTCCCTTATTTCTCATCAGCTGGGTGAAAAAATGTAGGCTGTCGTTTGACCATATTGTGTTGAGTCTTCGCTCTCCCTCTTATGTTGCTAGTATGCAAATAATTAGTGTTCATACACAAGTTCTTGATGACTGCGCAACTGCATGTTTGTTACTATTAAGCTGAATAATACATAATATAGCCGTATCCCCACAGCTAATCCACTTATTGTCACAGTGCTCCCTTGAAGAAAACCTTTTTAAATTAGATGGAAGATGGGGGATTTTCATGGTTGATTGCTGCTGAAAAGTTTTTGAAATTGATAAGCCATCCTTGTGAATAAATTAAACATTACAAATAACTATGTTTAGTGTGAACTGTATTCTGCTAGTGAATTTGAATTTGCAGGTTTTAAGTGTTTAATATTTTGGATTCACAGGTAATAAAAGAAAGTGGCCCACCACATATGAAAAGCTTTGTTACTAAAGTAATGGTTGGAGAATTTTCAGCTGAGGGAGAGGGGAAGAGCAAGAAAATTTCGAAGAAAGCTGCTGCAATAGCTGTTTTAGAGGAACTGAAAAAACTTCCACAGCTTCCAACAGTAGAAAAAGTGAAACCACGCATAAAAAAGAAAACCAAATCAATAGTGAAGGTGTGTAGACCTTTTATCTCTATAAAAGAACATTATTTGCGGGGTTGGGGGGAACTGGGTGTGAAGAGATCTTGTGCCAAATGGAGGTTCATTTCATAGCTATTGCTGGACCTGATTTTCAGCTATACTTTTTCAAGATTCCATTAATTTGGTGACTCTTGTAAGTGGGAAATGGTTATGCTCCACCATAGTTTTGAAGTTGTATGCCACGCTGAGGTTTCTGTGCAGCATTGGAGGGATGGTTCATTATTAGAAAGAAGTCTCAACAAACATTAAATTTCCTGCAGTTTCAATATCAACAATGTCTGTCATCAAAGTAATCTTTTTGATTCATTTTTTTTGCTTGAGGTGCTGCCATACAGTGCCTGTATATTTTCTTTGGGGATCTATATTTTATGGATATAAGACAGGAAGAGTAAAGTTGAGACAAGTTCAGCTTTAATCTTGTGAATCTACATTCCAGTAAGACCATTTTGTATGAGGTGCTGGTGAAATACAAGAATTTTTTTCAAGGCTTAAACTGGTTTTTAGGATGGAACTGTCTGTTGTATTTTCTCATTGCATAGTTATCCAAAAGAAACTATGAAAATTTTTTTCATTGCCATCAAAAGTTTAGGAAAGGGATTTCCAAAAGTCTAATTATAAATGGTTATTAGCTATCAGAAGCTAAATGTATTAGAAGTGATGGCCCATTATTCAGCTTTTGTTTCTGGGACTAGTCTGATTCTTACATTTATATAGAACCTTTTAACATTGTGAAGCATAAAGCATTTCACAGAAGTGTCATCAAACAAAAATTTGATGTGGAATCACCCTCTGCCATTCAGTAAGATTATAGCTGAACTTGCACATCAACTTCACTTTTCTATCCTATCTCCATAACTGCATTTCCCTAAAGTGGAGGTAAGTAAAACAAGTAGGTATGAAGGAGTCTCTTAACGGAGGAGAGTTTGAGAGCAGAGAGCCTAAAGGAGGCAATTCTAGAACTTGGCAACGAAGCATTAACGGTATGGATGCTAATGGTTGGAGCCATTTTAAAATTGGACAGGTACAAGAGACTTGAATTGGAAAGCAGTAGAACCCTCCAGGGATAGAATGGAGGAGGTTAGTATTGGAGAGGGGCTGTGGAGAAATTTGAATGCTAGGTTGAGAATTAAAAACTCTGATTCCTAATCTGGTAATATGTTAAATCAGCAGAAGCTAGGACAGATAAATGAATGGGGCAGTGCAATTTAGAACTAGGGCAGCACAGTTTTTTTGGATGAGTTGAATTTTAAAGAGGATGGAAGATAGAAGGTCAGCCAAGAGAGAATTGAAATTATAGAAGTTAGAATAATTTAAGGTATTGATAAGATTTCCAAAGCATCTGATTGAGAGAGACACAAATGTAGTGTAGTGCAATGTAGGTAGCCAAGGTGATGGAATGGACATTTGATTAGGAGCTAGTTTCATGGTCATGTAAAATACCAAAGTTTTGAATGCTCTTATTCATCCTCAAGGATATGGCAATCGAGATATATGGGATTAGTGTTTATGATGAGGTCTTTAAAAGTACTTTGGTGATTTCAGTATGGTTGGTTCTGCTATAACGTGATCATTGCATTCCTGTGCAGCAACATGTTAAAGAAAATTGCACCATAGAAATAACGGGTCTATGGGAAAAGTGGGGTTAGAACAAAGAACAAAGAAAATTACAGCACAGGAACAGGCCCTTCAGCCCTCCAGCCCTCCAAGCCTGCGCCGATCCAGATCCTCTATCTAAACCTGTCACCTATTTTCCCAGGATCTGTATCCCTCTGCTCCCTGCCCATTTCATGTGTCTGTCTAGATACATCTTAAATGACGCTATCGTGCCCACCTCTACCACCTCCGCTGGCAATGTGTTCCAGGCACCCACCAGCCTCTGCGTAAAGAACTTTCCACGCATATCTCCCTTAAACTTTTCCCCCCTCACCTTGAAATCGTGACCCCTAGTAATTGAGTCCCCCACTCCGGGGGGGGAAAAAGCTTCTTGCTACCCACCCTGTCTATACCTCTCATGATTTTGTAGACCTCAATCAGGTCCCCCCTCAACCTCCGTCTTTCTAATGTAAATAATCCTAATGTACTCAACCTCTCTTCGTAGCTAGCGCCCTCCATACCAGGCAACATCCTGGTGAACCTTCTCTGCACCCTCTCCAAAGCATCCACATTTTGGTAATGTGGCGATCAGAACTGTACACAGTATTCCAAATGTGGCCGAACCAAAGTCCAATACAACTGTAACATGACCTGCCAACTCTTGTACTCAATACAATGTATTTCATTTACTTTGAAGTTGTATCTGCTGCTTTATTGTAAATTGAAAACCTAACTTAAATCCATCTGTTAATGTGGTTTTACACATAGCTTGAAGCAATTTTTAATAGTTGTGTAAGGTTTGATGTGAGAAAGCTGACATTGAAAATTAAACACCATGCATGCAATGGTGAAGATTGGCAAGAGGTTTTATCAGTGCATCTACAAATGTACAGATTTTAGAATGGGTAAACTCCAGGGATTGATGACTTTTTTTAATCTTGCACTGCATTTTTCCCAAACCAATGTAAGCTATGTTCATAGTGCATCATATCAAACAATTTTCTCTTCCCTTCCTCCATTACTCCCATCATGGCTGAGAAACAGCTCAATGGTGATTGCTGGCAGCATACTAGGAAACGTTATAAAACTATGGCAAGGTGAAATTTAATGTCATATCCACATCTGTAGGCTTGATCTGTGCTGGTGGTGATGCGTGGACTCTGCCCGTATGAAAGAAAACTGATAGCATGTCATGTTGTGCTATGTATTTTGCAGAGGTATAGTCTGAGAATTCAATTTGTGGACAGGAAATGTCAGAGACCTCCTGTTTCATGATAAGTAAGCAATGTTTTTTAAACATGTGATCCAGCAAAACCTATCGCGCATGACAATTTACCAACATGCCAGTGCTAAAATGAAGCCCCTGACTTTGAGGCATGAAGATGAGCAAAACTTCCTTTTTGATTTGGAGGTGCTGAGCTGGTTAACTACAAACAAACGATCATGATCTTGGATAATGGAAAGGAATATTGGTTTGATTTCTTGTGCCTGGCTGTTGTTAATTGGTCCCTTGTGGAACCACATAACTGTCTTTCTAACATTTGAGAATAAAATTGAGCTGATGTTTGACCTTTAGTTGGTAATCCAGATTCTTGTGTGGTGACCAGTAGTGTGCCACAACGATCAGTGCTGGGTCCGCTGCTTTTCTTCATTTTATATAAATGATTTGAATGTGAACATAGGAGGTATGGTTAGTAAGTTTGCAGATTGGAGGTGTGGAGGACACACAACCCAAGTACAATGGGATCTTGATCAGATGGGCCAATGGGCCAAGGAGTGGCAGATGGAGTTTAATTTAGATAAATGTCAGGTGCTGCATTTTGGAAATGCAAATCAGGGCAGGACTTGTACACTTAATCGTAAGGTCCTGGGGAGTGTTGCTGAACAAAGAGACCTTGGAGTGCAGGTTCATAGTTCCTTGAAAGTGGACTCGCAGATAGATGAGTGAAGAAGGCATTTGGTGTGCTTTCCTTTATTGGTCAGTGCATTGAGTATAGGAGTTGGGAGGTCATGTTGCAGCTGTATAGGACATTAGTTAGGCCACTACTGGAATACTGCATACAATTCTGGTCTCCCAACTGAAGGAAGGATGTTGTGAAATTTGAAAGGGTTCAGAAAAGATTTCCAAGGATGCCAGGGTTGGAGTGTTTGAGATATAGGGAGAGGCTGAATAGGCTGGGCTATTTTTCCTGGAGTGTCAGAGGCCGAGGGATGACCTTGTAGAGGGTTATAAAATCATGAGGGGCATGGATAGAGTAAATACCCAAGGTCTTTTTTTCTCCCCCAAGGTGGGAGAGTCCAAAACTAGAGGGCATACGTTTAAGGTAAGAGGGCAAAGATGTAAAAGGGCCCTAAAGGGCAACTTTTTCACACAAATGGTGGTACATGTATGGAATGAACTGCTGGAGGCTGGTACAATTACAACATTTCAAAGACATCTAGACAAGCATATGAATAGGAAGTGTTTAGAGGGGTATAAGCCAAATGCTGGCAAATGGGACCAGATTTATTTAGGATATCTGGTCGGCATGGGCGAGTTAGACCGAAGGGTCTGTTTCTGTGCTGTACATTTCTATGACTCTGTCACTGCTGGGATTTGTGTAAGGTACTATGTGCGTGGAATATTAAGCCTGAGGATTTTAAGTGTCAGGTTTAAATAAATCACCTTATCAATTTTCTACGTCTGGTCAGTCGTCAAGGTAATGTAATCTGAAACTTTTTAAGTATCTGGTATATTTCATGCTCCTTCCATTAGACTGTTGCACTCTAGTTAATCTAATCTAGAGGAGTTATGTCAAGATTTCACCCGAAGATTTAGGCAAATCTGATTGCACCACCACATTCTAGCCTGGCCATTGTTTGACAAAATTGTTACTGTGACATCAACAGTCTATGATGAACAGCTTTTGTTGTGTGAAATACTTGTTCTGCTTATCCTCGTCTCAGCTTCCTATCACATTGCTAATTTTGTAGCTATTCTCTTCTCTGAAGAAATGATCAGCACGCAGTGATTGCATTTGAAATCTGTCTGTAGGATTTTTTTTCAGTCTTGCAAGTTTATTGAGTATGTGATTGTTTTCTAATTTTCTGTTCACTGCCCAAATTGAACAGCCTGGTTATGTCCACTATCTCCACTTCTCAAATACCTAGATAGTAACTTCTGTTTCCACATTAAAAGTTTAGATGCAAGTCTGTATTCAGAGCTTAATCCAATTTTTCTTTGAATAATTTCTTTTTATTCCTCTTTGGGCAAAAAAATTGAAATATCTTTTTAATTAATCATCATGCTGGGATCGTCTACTTTTAGCATAAATTGCATGCATGCCAGGTACAGCAATGTACTTTGCCCAAATGTAGGTTTCTTTTGTCCATGTGAGCCTTCCTCAAGATTTCTAAAAATTTTACAGTACAGAAACCAGTTTGTGAAATGGATTCTCACCCATCTCTATATAATGTTTGAGGCAGCTTAAACTCAATGATTCTGTAGCCCTAAAAAGAACACTTTTTTTTTTCCTGAGTTGGATTTGTATTCAGCATGGATAACACACTAACCTGCTAGTGCATCAAACTTTATCTTTATAATTTCTTCATGAATATCTTGTCTACATTGGTATCTTCTGAGTTTTAGACTGTTGGTACACATTTTTACTTGTTTAACAAATGGCCAGTCTTGGACTATTGTTATCATTAATCTAGTTTATTAAATTGAGTTAAGTTTATTGATTGGGAACAAAAGGCATTCTTGTAAATGCTTGATTATTCCTTCATAGATATTTGGAAGACAGCACAGCATCTGATGTGCATGATGAACTCTCAATTCTGTAAGCTAACAGGGAAGTTTTCCAGTTTCCTATAGGGACAAAAATTCTTGAATCCTGTATTCCAGACAACACTTTCTCAGCTTCTAGCATCCAATAGTAAAGTGATTATTGGCAGAGTTCTGGAAAAAGGCCCTTTTGGCCATGAGGAAAATGGGGAATAAAAGGTATTTTAAGGAAATCAAAGCCACTTTTGGTGTTAAGGAAATCTGCAAGATTCAGCACTAATTTTTTTTTTAATTTTTTTAAACATTGGGTCACTCTGTACCTAAACTAAAACAGAATCTGGCTTTTCAAATTTGGCTGCAAAAATTAAACTTTATTCTTCATCTCACCCGGTGATTTAATTTGAATAGTGCTGAAATGCTGAGCTTGCATCTTTTTTTATTTTTAAGCTACAGACAAGTCCAGAGTATGGGCAAGGAATGAATCCCATCAGCCGTCTAGCTCAAATTCAGCAAGCAAAAAAAGAAAAGGAGCCTGAATATACATTAATGGTAGAACGAGGCCTTCCTCGCCTCAGAGAGTTTGTTATGCGGGTGAGAACTGTTACATAATTTATCTGATTATCTACAGATTCTGAAGTATACAATTCCAAATAACCTAAACTGTATTGCTTTGTATAGGTTAAAGTTGGTGGTCAAGTAGGAGAGGGAATGGGCCCAAATAAGAAAGTTGCCAAGCGAAATGCAGCTGAGAAGATGCTGGAACTTTTAGGTTTCAAAGTTCCTCAGCCTCAGCCACCTAAACCAGCTTTGAAAACTGAAGAAAAGGTAATTTTTTTTTCATCAGTCCAATTGAAGTTGGTTTGCTTTTAAGTTCCAACGTAGATTCTGAAAGAATTTTAATTTTCTTTTAAGCCAACTGTGAAAGAACCTGTGAAAGGGCGTAAAGTGACGTTTTTCGAGCCTGGTTCCTCCATAGAAGATACAGCAACAGGTATGTTGCATATAAACAGGCACTGCACCTGAAGTAGGGCAAGTGGAGAAATACTTGAGGAACAGTGATCACAGTATTGGGTTTTGTGCACTTTGTAATGCTGCGAACTGGCCAAATATAAAAATACAGGAGAGTGTCTAATTTCAGTGAGTCTCTAAACAATCTGGCTCACCTAGATCAGAATCAATAAGATATGCAAGATAAGGGAACAAAAGGATTCCTTCTAGGGAATGGACAGGTACAAATTTAACATTTTTCCCACAAAGGAGAATGGTAAGAAATTCCAAGAGCATCCTTAGTATGCCTTAATTATAGTGACAGTAATAACAGCAAAAGCATCAGTCACTTCCATAAGGGTTGTTGTGTGCTGCCTACCTCTGAGCCAGGAGGCCTGGGTGCAAGTCCCACCTGCTCCACAGGTGTGTAATAACAATTCCGAAAAGGTTGATAAGAAAATATCTCCGCCACCTCCAATAAGAAGTAAATAGATAGCAACTTCCAGTATCTGTGCGTGAAAATTTAAATGCTAAAATCAAATGATTTCTATTTTAGTTGGCCTGCTTCTCCAGGAACTTTGCTATGATGGTGCGTTGGTCAAAACATGTCACTGAAGTGCATGTAAATTTTGAGAATGCTTATCAAAAAAGAACACAATCAAAATTGTGTTGATCCATTCAAATTTAAGTTTTTAGTGGTGGTGTATGTCCTAATTACTGCCAAACAATCTTTCTGGACTGAAAAGTAACTTCTTTTTTTTTTGTCTTTCTGAAATTCCGATAATGCTTAAAACTGTAAAATGAATTTTTTTTTTCTCTTTTATCTCTTTTCCCCCCCCCCCCCCACCCCCCCCCCCCCCCCCCGCCAAAAAAAAAGTCCCTATCATCTTTCTTTCTCTAAGGATTCTGCAATCTGGTTAAGGAGAGACACTGTTACCTGACTTGGTCATACAAGTTCCAGTTCCCCTCAGGAGAATTCTGTGCTGTTTTGGCTGCCTAATAATAAGCTCCAGTTCAAAAGCCTGCAAAGTTTAACATGTAATGAATGGTTAGCAATACCTTTTTGTTGACATTTAACTCCAAAATCTAGCCCAACGGGATTAAAATGAAGCGCAAAAAATCTGTGATGAATTTCATCTGTATAAATTCAGTGGCAACCTGAGCAGAATATGGATATTCCAGAGAAGGACTGAGTCTAAAACTCTGAGGATAGATTAGTGAGTTGACATAAAAAGGATCCTGAAAGTGATTTATAAAACTAGAAATTGTAAAAGAGTGGGGCAAATTAAGAACTAGTCCTCTTGTGGAAGCAGGACATGTCCAATGTCCTCAGTTAGTTCTTTGTGTCACTCTCTTAAATTGGACAACAGGATACTGCTAATGTCACAGCAAATGAGAACGTAGTAGAGAAATTAGGGTAAAAATAAATTAAGATTTACTCAAGGAAGAATGTTATTAACTTGGAGCAGATGAGAAATGGAATCTGAAGTTCATCTATGCATAGAGATCTGTGTTCCTGTTAGATCAGGGTAGGTTGAGGGGAGAGTTTGTAGAAGTCTTTAAAATCCTGAAAAGTTTTTTTTGGTTGAGCAAAATATAGAGAAATTGTCATTGGTAGACATCCATAACAAAAGGATAGAATTAAGGTAAGTTCTTGAGAACTAGAGGCAAAATGAAAAAGTGTTTAGAATGAATCCCTAAGATAAGGGAAGTGTAAGAATAAGATATGGAATTGATAGTCCCCGTTGAGGTGGATGGCCTCTTTCTGTGTTGTTACATTGGCTGAATTCTTGCTTTAATGTGACTCCTAAACACTGAATCTGACATTGAATCTTACTGAAGTGAGGAATTGCCAATTTTGTTCCAATGTAAAATCTACCACTTGAGGTGATTTCAAGTTGCTACAATATGAGCAATTTTGTTTTTATAATTAATTATGATAGAGAAATTACAACTTTGCTTTGAAAAATCTCTTAACTAGTCATTTTAAGGGAAACTATGGCTAAATTTTGCATGAGACTCAAAGGATTCTATACCTTTGCAGAGAGAGTTCAAATGTGGAGAGATTTACATCAGGTAATGCTTAACTGCTCAAAACTTTCTTGTTGGGGAAGTAAAGCTTCTGAAAAGAATATTATGAATACTTGTGATGATGATTCAATTGTGTCAGTATGGTCAACAGGCAAACTTGCATTGTCAACACTCAAATGTCCAAGATTCCAAAGAAAAGGAGTGTATGTATATCTGAGCATTCCATAACAAACTCTGCTTTTGTGCTGTCATTGAAGTAATCGTGTTTAAAAACAGTTCTAAATTGTACTGTTTTTCAGTTAAAGATGGCAGCATGCGCTTGGAAGATGAATTCCGAATGCCTTATCCCAGCCACCAGCAACTGCCTGCTGGAATCCTTCCAATGGTTCCTGAGGTAGCACAGGCTGTTGGAGTCAATCAAGGGCATCATACCAAAGATTTCAACAGGCCTGCAGCAAATCCAGCTATGGCCACTTTCACTGCAATGATAGCAAGAGAGCTCCTATATAGTGGGACGTCTTTAACTGCAGAAACTATTTTGAAAAATAATCCTGCAGCTCGCAAGCCACAAAGCACCCTTACCAGACCTTCAGAACAATTGGACTTTTTGGCTACTGTTCAAGCATTACAGGTATGATAAATCTCTTTTCTGAATAGTCGAGGGGTTATCACTGATGAGTTTAGCTGAAATAGCTTTTAAAAGCACTTTCGTTTTTGGTCTTGAGATGGGCAGTGCATATATCAAGGCATTGCTTTCTGTACTGTAATGTTAGCTTGTTTCTTTTGCTATATTACAAATTTATTTAGTACTGATGCATTTAATCTTTTGAATAGTATTGAATGTAGCTCAAAAACACAGTGAATCTGTAAAATTCCTTATTTGTGTTGGGCTTGCTGGTAATTGTTAAGTATAACTTGAAGCCAGGCTAACCTTGCAAGCAGTGTTGGAATGTATTGAGACTTACTCGAAAAATTCAAGCATTAGAAATAAGGCCATAATAAATGTGTAACAAAAATAAAGTGTACATGTTTCATCTGTACTACTACTGATGTGGGGTGGGGCATCAGATTTCTGAGGAACCAATTCTGGAGCAGGTGGGACCTGTACATGCTGAACGGATTTTACCTCAAAGGGACTGGGACTGATCTTGCAGAGATTTCTGCTCGTGGTGGTGGGGTGGGTTTACACTAGCTTGTTGGTGGCCTGGCATCCTGCGGGGAAATCCAAATTGGAAGGAAATGAAGTTGGAAAGATGCTAGGGAGACTGGAAGACAGGAGAATCTAAGTTGAGCATAGAGTACGCTTCAAATGCGGAACTGTGTCAGAAAGACAGAGTTAAGGACGCTCTCAATGAATATACGCAGCATTCACAACAAAGTAGACAACTAATTGCTATTACAGAAACATGGCTACATGGTAACCAGAACTAAGGACTGAATAATCAAAGCTTTTCATTTAGGAAGGACATAAGATGGAATTGCACTGATGAGGGATGGGATCAGTATATCAGTAAGGGAGGATCTCTAATTGGAAGAACAGTGTGAAATCTGTTTGAGCGGAACTAAGGGCAGCACACTTTCGAATTATATACAGGCCACTAAATAGTAGTGTTAACGTGGGACATGTTATTAATAAGGAAATGAGGAAAGCTTGTACCACAGGCAACACATTAAGGGTGACTTCAGTCTGCATATAGACTAGGTAAACCAATTGGACATTAGCTGTGGAGGACAAATTTCTGGTGACTTTCTAGAGGATGAACTATTCCTATGTTGAGGAGCCATGCGGTTTTAAATCCAGTATTGTGAAGGTTCAGATGAAGGGTCGCTGGACTTGGGAGTGTTAGCTGTTTTCTCTCCACAAATGCTGCCAAACCTGCAGAGTTTCTTCAATTTAGATTATTACTTTGCCTCTGTTTTCACCTGAGGAAGATACTAGCAATCTCCCAGAGTTGAAGATGCAAGTGGTTAAGGAGAATGAGGAATTGAAGCAAGATTAGCATTAGTAGGAAGATTTGTACTGGAAATTAATAAATCACCTAACGCTCTACATCCTAGAGTGTTGAAGGAGTTGGCTATAGAGGGAGTTGATGCCTTGGTGATTATCTTCCAAAATTCAGTAAATTCTGAAATGATACCTTTTCAATCTTCGAGAAGTAAATGTCACCCCGCTATTTAAGAAGGGAGTGAGAGAAAACCAGGAAGTACAGACTCGATAGCCTATCATCAGTAGAAATGTTCAGTCAGCCATGATTGTGTTGAATGGCAAGGCAAGCTCTACAGGTTGAATAACCTACTCCTTATCCTTGTTCCTTTTGTTTCAATTCACATCTTAAAGATGCTGACTTGTACAATTTTCACAAGTTACAATAATTGTCTGGTATGCAGTCCAAATAACCTTGTTAACATGCAGACATTGAATCTGAGCCAAGACTGGTCTTGGCTGTGACCTCTCCCTTGAATTGACTGAGATGGAGAATGTCAATCAAGGTGTCTCAAATCTTGTCTAGTACAGTTAATTTAATGGCCGTCGGAAGCAATTTTTCATTCTCAACACCAGGTTCCACGTCATCTGACGTGATTTGACTCTATTCTGTTTGTAGCTATTTGAAAACCAGTGGCTCAGGAAAATATCAAACTGCATTTATTTTACGTATTATTGTAGATAGCCCTTTCTAATACTTCTAATATCTAACTTCAAAGTGTTCAGATTTTTTCACAATGATTCAGTATTTTTTTAATGACTAAGACAATGTGTAGAAATCAAATTTGAAGCAATGCAATCATATACAGTACTAGTATTTTGTTTTGGCACAAGCCTTTGACAGTTTGAATGTGCCTGTCCATCAATTTGTGTTAGTGATGTCATGCCATGTTATGTTATCCATTTTCAGGTTGAATATAAAGATTTTCCAAAAAATAATAAAAATGAGTATGTGTCGCTGATTAACTGTTCATCCCAACCTCCTCTGATTAGTCATGGAATTGGAAAAGATGTTGAATCCTGTCATGATATGGTAAGGATATTTTATGCTTTTCAAACCTTGAGTAATAACCTCATGCTTATTCCTCTGGTACACTGAAATTTCAGCTAAATTACAAGTTCTTTATTAATAGCCATACTTTTTTCCTAAGATCATTACATGAAAAATGTAATATTTTTAAGATCGTACATGTCCCTGTTTCTTTTTCAGGCTGCACTTAATATCTTAAAACTGTTGTCTGAGCTGGACCAACAAAATGTAGAAATACCAAGAACAGGAAATGGACCAATTGCTGTGTAAGTATTAGCTGATGCAGTCAAATCAAAGATATGAATGTGGCATAGTTGGTATATCAGTAACTGGGGGTCACAATTTCAAACTTGTCAGCAAGAGAGCTAGAATTGCGATGAGAAAAGTCTTTACTCAACCTTGTAAAGATTTGGAATCTGCTGTCAGGGAGAACGGCGGAGGCAGGTTTCAAAAGAGACCTGAATATATATTTAAAAGTGATATTTAGAGTGCTATGGCTATAGGCTGGAGACTGGGTAGCTCTTTTAGGAACAGGTACAGACATGATGGGTCGAATGGCCACCTCCTGTACTGTAAAATCCTATAATAACCAGGAGCATAAATAGGCAATTAGGGATTGAACTAAAACAAGAAGGAATGCTTTATTGTTCTGGAGAAACAAAAAAGACTTCATGTGGGGTAGAAATCAAATAATAACAGAGGGAATCGATGCTTGATCGTGAATGTGATGTTCTTTGGAAACTTAAAAATTGTACCTTTTTGGAATTGAAAATGACATACTATTACGTAAGAAGCAATTGATAATAAACAGGTAATTCTGGGCCTGGAAAAAATGCTTTTAGTTGTGTCAACTCCCAAGGGCAGGAATGCAGAAAAACATTTGGGTCTTTATAAGCTTCCAATTGCTGAACATTCAACCAAACATCTTAGCAATTGGCAGAAAGTGGTTGTCCAGCTGTTTAAATCAGTAAATTGCCAGACCAAAAGGAACGTTCTCTAACACAGAGGTTATGGTCCAGGATAGAATCTGGTTTGAGAGGTGGTGGGAAGACCAATGTAGGAGAAGATGAAGCTTTCTATCGGGTCTAGAGGAATATTCCTGCTCCTGGTCTATATAGAAACGTGAAAAAGTTTATTTTTAATTGAACAATTGCCTTGCTCGACCGCTTCTTGTCCTACCATTGTAAATAACTGAACATTAATTTTCCAGATGTGACTTGAAGCAGCATCTCCCTATTTCTGAATTTCAACACTTTGATGTAAAGGCCAACATTTCATCTGCCTTTTTGGTTTGTGTATATTGGGCTAAATGATCACCTGTGCTGAGATTTTGGATTGTCTTATGATCATTATATGAACATAAATTATAATCATAAGCATTTGCAGCTTTGTATAATCCATAACTTACTGTATTTGTTTAAGTTCTGCATGTTTTTGTGGCTAACAGAAACATTCTTGTTTTGTAGAATTACTAAATTTCAAACCAACTGATTCTTTCTTACAGATGTGTGAAACAAGAGATTGATGGCGATTCTCATATCAAACCGGCTAACTCAAACACTTTAGGACAAACACTGGAGGTCACTGACTGAAAGCCTTTTATTGACCCAAAGCGCCAAGCACCAGAGAAAATCGGATGCTTCCTGTTCTGTGACATGTAACTTATGTTTTAGAGAACTACAGTTTGAATCTTGCTGTAGTATCTAAATCATTAAGTTGCTTAACTTTTTAAAATAGTAATGCATTTCAACATTAATTCATTTTTTTTGATGAAGGAAATTTGTTCCTAATGTTTCATTGGAACCCTGTTAACACCAATATCCAGCAGCAAAAAGTTAGAATTTCTGTTGATGACTCTCCAATAGTACATTACATGATGATTGAAAAATTGCTTAACAAAATCAGGGTCATATCCAATGTATGTAGTTCATGATTTGGTACCTGTTTGAATTGGCCGTTAACCACACAAACCGTCTTGGTTTATCAAAACTTGGTGCTAGTTTAAAAAGTAGTGTGCCTGCATTTTCGTAATTATATATCCAACAGAAGCAAGTTGAAACTCTAAATTAAATTCAGTTTGAATAAGTTATAAAGACTGCCTCCTTGTTCACCCTTGAAAGATGGTATCAAGTAGAATGTTTGGTCTTATAGGTTAAGTTTGTATTTTTAATCTAATTTTTTTAATTTGGTAATTCTGAAGGACTTTGCTTTTTGTTTTTATATTAAACTTTGTTTATATTAAAGTAATTTTCAACAGTGTACAAGAATTACATTGTTGGATATGATCTGTTACCTAGCTTATACCAGAAATTGCAGATTACTGTAAATCTTGGTGTAGGGTAAAATGTAAGATGTTGTGTTGTACTTTATTAATGCTTTGATGTAATGTTCCATGTGATGTACACAAAGTGTGTACAGTAAACATTTTGCTTATTGTCCAAGTAAAGCACGAATCCCTTGCCAACTCAGTCAAAACTTTGTTACTTTACTTTTGGACTTTTTTTTTCCTTCCCATGTACTGTACCTATGGAATGGAGAAGTAAAAATTGGTGTTTGTGCACAAGTACTGGTGGCTTTTTTTGGCATAACACATTATCAGTGTGAAGCTGAGTTAAAGGAGTTGCCGGCCACCGTTAAATTGTTAACATTGATTTTCTCAACTGCCTCAACAATTTTGAAAAGATTGTGTTTTGTAGAAAAGATCTTGGTGGTTCTAATTTGTCTTGGAATACATTTTTGGGTATCTAACTTTCAGGCAGCTAAACTACTCCAGTACATATTTTCTGGATCACAATTCCCTTCTTTAATAACATAGAAGGAAGAAGCTTGTAAAATTGCTGGAAACAAGCCAGCGGATTAACTCAAACCCTTTTGACTATATCAAGCATTTAACTCCTTTAAGTCATGCTGCACAACCTTTTCTCCATTGTGTGTGGTAGAACAGCTAACCTTTTAAAGGATTTTTTTAAACCAACCAGCATCAGTCTGAACGAGAACACTGTACTCCAGAGTTTTACTTGGATGGCTTTGGGTATCTACAGTAGATCGACTTTTAAAATGGCTCAGATTTGAAGCTCTGAAAAATTACTCAAGTACAAACTATGGAGCTTTACAATATTAAAAATTCTTTTTGACTAAAAACTAAATTGTTTAAAACTGTTTTAATTCAAATATCGGTATGAAGAGTAAAGCATTCCAGAGTTTGACACCAAATGGAGTTAACTTAAGCGCTGACCAATCTTGATTGAAATTGTTTAAAGGTTCCAAGTAACTGTATGATCCTATGAAGTGTTTTTATGAAACTAATAACAATTTGGCTGGGAATGGAATAACAGACTTTCTGAAAATTGCATTTAGTGCATTTGGAATTCCTTCCCTGCCAATAGGGTGGTGCTATTGAACTTTGAATTGGAGCTTGTTTAACATATTTTATTCTGGAACTTCTTGTAGTTGTGTTCACTTCTCATTAATTTGACTTTTTCCTGAGATGCAAAGTCCATTCTATTTTCAAGAACAGATCTGATAGTATGAGCAATTCGCATCTGCAAATTGTATGAAAGGAAATTTGTTATTATGGATATATAGTTATGTTACTTTAAGACTAAATAGACATAAAACAATACAAAGCTGATCGAAACCCTCATCAGTGTAGTTTTTTTTTTTATTCATGTGATGTGGGCATCACTGGCTAGGACAGCCTATACTGCCCATTACTAATTATCCAGAGGGCAGTTAAGATCAACCACATTCCCATGGGTCTGGAGTCATATTTTTAGGCCAGACCAGGTAAGGAAGCTAGATTTCCTTCCTGAATTAATGACATTAATAAGCTGGATAGCTTTTTTTTTAAATGATTGGCATTGGCTACAGGGCCAGATTTTTATTGAATCCAAATTTCATTATCGAATCCCACCATGGAAGTCATGTTCCTGCAGCATATTAGCCTGGGGTTCTTGATTACTAGTCCAGTAACATTATCACCACTACTCCACCTCTTTTATTTGATGATCTTGAACTTTAACACCGAATCAAGTGTCACTACCATTGGAAATGCAAACAATGCTGTGCAAACTGAGGTCTGGTGGGATCCATGGAGAGAAAAGAGTTCATGATGAAGAGACATGCTTGTTTCTCTCTCTCTACAGATACTGCCAAACCTGCTGAGTTTCTACAGCACTTTTTATTTCAAATTTCCAGCACCTGCAGTAATTTGGTTTTATATCGGTCAGCCAGCAGAACTTTGTATGGATTGTAAGATTTGAATTTCATCATAGTGAACACTTCTGAAGTTATGAGCAATGTTTCAAAACAATTGGAGCAAAAATATTGCTATTTCTGATAGACTTGCATTTATCATGTTCCTTAAATACTTCCAGTTCTTCATATACAATTGCTTTTGAAATAGTGGTGTTGCAGCCAACTATAGAAGACATCCATGCACATCAAAGTCTCAGAAATCACAACATATTACCAGTGGATGTATTTTCATGAAAATAGAGAGGTTTAATATCTCAACCAAAGGATAGCATCTCTGCTGCAGATAAAATGTTGTTCGAGATTTTATGTAGTAAAAGATTCATCTTTGTATTCCCAGTGAACAGCATTTATTGGATGATTGCTATCTTTAACAAAAAGTAAATAAATGTAAATACTTTCAAGACTGACTGTTCGATAGATGCCAGTATACAAGCCGATGCATTTCTGCGACAAACAACTGCTTTAAGGCCATTGATACGTATCTGGTTTTTATTTAAAAAAAAAAAAAAAAAAAAAAAAATTCTTGGCTTGAGTTTGAGAGTTAGGACAAATGGTTCAAGAGCTATCTTATGATAGTTGTGAAACCCTTCTGAATGACAACATTAACTGATTTAGGAAGTAATATTACTCCCTAAAACTTTCTCGTGTATGCTTATTAGACATTTATCTGGTTTTAAGGAGCCTAATGAACTACCATTTTACAACACAAACCTGCAGCTTTCTAATACTTGTTAATGATGCTGATTCATGCTTTTCTGTCTTATTTGTGGATTCATCTTAAATGTAGCAGAATTAATTAGTTAGATTTTGAACTGGGATGGCTTCTGCTTAGTTATTGGATATTCATGATAATACACCTGTGTAACTTGGCAATAAGAGGAAAACAGTAGGATTACCTCAGTTTCAGAGCAAGTTATTTAATCTGTTTCTGTCTAGTTTTAAACACTGAAATTATTTACTTAAATATGAATCTTGTCAGCATTCATTGACTGTGTTCTTTAAATTAGATCTTAAATAGCTGCCTGTTGAATTCCTGGCATTAACCTTGATTTTGAATTGACTTAGATTGGAAAGGAGAGTAATGGTGTATTGATTTAATTTCCAAAAGTTAATCAACAACCAAGAATTCCTTGTCTCTTTGTGAATTCTGATGGTAACTGTCCACAGTACTCTGCTGTGCTGTAAGTAATGGGTCATGCTGCTATTGAATTTTCTCAATATTCTAACCCTTAAAGACTGTTGCTTCTAGGCTATTTGGGTTTCTGTTGCTTGGGTTTCCTATTTTACTTCTAAGTATAAACTCAACTTTCTACCTGAATATTGCAGTTAGAACATTGATGTTTTGCCATATCTTGCGGTCCATTTCTGTTCAATCTGCTTATTCTTTGACTAAAGTTGCAGAGAGATGAGGTTTGCAAACATTCCTGTTGAAATGCCTTGATAATCTTCACTGGTATTCAAAAATGCATGGCATAAAAATGAAGTTTGTTTCCATAAAGATTTTGTAATTTTTTAAAACAAATTCCTCCCACATTTTGGGAAACTGAAAATCTGCACGAAAATCATTTTTTCTTGAAAGATGCTTTTGTTTATGAAATCTAAATATATAAAGAAACTGTTTATAATCACCAAAGTTTGCAATGGCCCTTCATGAATGGCATGTAATTATTTCAGTGAATGTTTGCATTGAGTCTCTCCTGTTTAGTATTTAAATGCTACAAATATCTCTGGCCAACATTTTTAAAAATATTTTTCAAGTTTGGAGAATGTAATGCAGGCTACATTTATTGCCCATTTGTCAGTTTCTCTCAGAAGGTTTTGGTGTGGACAGTATTGAACTACTGATGCAAGTTGTGAAACTCAAAAACACTGACCCTGTGATCATTGTCCAAATCAGGACAATGAGGCAAAACTGTGATTTCAACATTTCCTCTCTTGTTCTTGTCGAGCCCAAAAACTTCTTAAAAAGGCACACAAGATGTTTCAGTTAACAAATGCCCTTATTCCTGGTTTCCAATGATTCAGTTTTGACCTCATCTTTTCTTTTAATCAATTAAATCCAGACTATTTTGTCATAAAGAATAGATAGACATTCAAAGCTTCTGCCTTTGCAAAGTATAACTATGTTAAGTAGCACCTGCTTTCACGTTTACTACTGGGATTATCTTCTACACGTGCAATTGAACCAAGTTGAATCCCTGGGTTTAAAAGCTGAGGAATGTTCCAGGCTATGAAGTTACAAATTGTGATGGTAGACATTTCTGCTTTTTATCAATTCTTTCGTCAAGCTGCATGTGGAAAGGGTGAATTGGGGTAGATGTTTTAACGGGTCATGTTTGGACCGCTTAAGGTGATGGAGGAAGAGGCTTTAAATGTTTTTTTTAAAAGGTAGAAATTGGTAATTATTTCATAGGCGGGAACGTGGAGTAATTAGATTAGCCTTTGAATGACAAGCGTTTTTGAGGGACTGAATGGCCTGCTTCTCATTCATATCAAAGATTCTACGCATGAGGCAGGAACTCGAAGCCCACAAACTGGGCAAGAAAAGAAACAGCCCATCATAGCAAGTATTGAATAGTCAGCCTGTCAATTGAGATGGTCTCCGTACTGTCGGCTGATTTGGATCCTGATATTCCCCTACCTCCAGCCGTAGTGATGGGTTACTGAGCCAATAAGCATTTGAAACGTTTTACCAAAACACCAAATTGCCTTTTTAAATTATCCCAGTTTTGCGAAGCATTTTAGTATTTCCCTGCTTGGAGTGTCTGTCAACGAGGTCGATCTCTTCAAATGGCGAAACAAGACGAAGAATTCCGGATTCTGGAATTTGAAACAAACGCTCTATCCGTAACTCCCTCGTCCGCTCCACACCCGACACCTTTTCCGTGCAACTGCAGTAAGTGCGACATCTGTCCGTACATCTCCCCCTCACCTCCATTCAAGGTCATCTCTGACTCCAGCAGCTGCAGTTCTTGATATGTCTTTCTGCCGATTAATGTTTCCACTGACCCTTTCTCAGAACCCTGTCACCTCTGCTTTCTCTCTACAGAAGTTGAGACATACTGAATTTCTTCAGCGATTTCTGTTTTTGTGTCCAAGGGCAGAGCGTGCTCGCTTATTGACTGGCAAAGGAGAGACCTACAGGCATGGGTTAACTACGATAACCGGAGTTGTTTGACTCACTTGTTAAATCATCCGCTTTTATCTAAAGCTACAAGTCCATAAGCTGTCGATTACGATCCTCTTTAAAACATCCAATATTTAAATAACCCCATTTCTTTTTCTTCCTGGCTTTATGTTACCAGTCCTTTATTAAGAGTAAACTCTCTGAAACAGTACGTTTTGATTTTTCTTCCTGGTTGCTGAGAATTTTCAGTATCTGTAGTTGAAACCACAATTGAAAACTGCTACCTTAAATCCAAAGCATCGTTACAAACAGCAAATAAAGAAGAGGCTACTACTTGATCATACATTCAAACTTTGGACAAATTATCCAGAAGAGAAAATTGGAACTTTCAGTATCCTTGGTCTGCCTCCGATCTATTCAAGCAAATAACTTTATGGTGCCCTCACTTTATAAAGTTTGCCCTCAATGCAGAGGAACTGTTTAAAAAATGGTCAACAGATGATTGGCGATACAATAAACGCGCACCTTTGCATTGAAAGAAATGTGGATGGATTTAGGGAGGTAGAGGCGATAGCCCAGCCACTATGCAGTCTCAAATAAACAAAGATCTGGAGGTGAAAGCCCAACTCTTTCCTCTGACATTATATAAGAGGTGGCGTCTCACTTCTGATCCTCTTCTGCAGCGGTAGTTGGTTTTCCTTTGTGTACTCTGGTAACGTTACGTGCGTGATGTTGTGTTTATGTGTAGGCAGCCTATTCCCCAAAAATTGAGATCAAAAAAGTGTTGGAGATGGCTTATTGTGAAGGCGGGACAAGTTTTGGAAATTGGAAGCAAAATGGATTAATTTTTCCATCTTTAGAGAAGAGCAATTATTGATGCACTACAAAAAGAATGGGCAGGTGTAGAACAAGGTATGTTCATGCGAAAAGACCGGCATAACTAGGACATTTTCTGATGAAGGGTCTAGGCCTGAAACGTCAGCCTTCCTGCTCCTATGATGCTGCTTGGCCTGCTGTGTTCATCCAGCTCTACACCTTGTTATCTCATAACGAGGACGCTTGTAGTTACCTATAAGCGCACCATTTATTCGAAGGAACAAAAACAAAGTTGCTGGAAAAGCTCAGTAGGTCTGGAAGCATCTGTGAAGGAGAAAACAGAGTTAACGTTTCGGGTCCGGTGACCCTTCCTCAGAAACAGAGTTCTGATCCGAAACGTTAACTCTGTTTTCTCCTTCACAGATGCTGCCAGACCTGCTGAGCTTTTCCAGCAACTTTGTTTTTGTTCCTGATTTACAGCATCCGTAGTTTTTTTGGTTTTTATTTATTTGGAAGAAGTGGACAATGCAATTTCCATTTCAACATGCCAGCAGGCGTGGTGTTAACTGAGGTGGGTTACAGTTCATGGAATCATAGAATCCCCACAAGTGTGGAAATAGGCCATTCGGCCCAACAGATCCGTACCGATTCTCCGAAGACAATCTCACCCAGACCCACCCCCATACCCTATCCCTGCATTTTCCCGTGGCTAACCTAACCTACACATCCCTGAACACTATGGCCAATCCACCTAACTTCCTAAAACCTTCAGACTGTCTTTGTTAGGAATAGTGTAGAGAGATTGGATGTCCCTAATGGAAGAGGAGATGGGATCAGAAAACTGGAAATTATTCAACTACCGAAGTTACGGAGGGTGGTGGGAAGAGATTGGACACAGGAAGAAAAATTAGTGTCAACATTGAACCTCCATGAAGAACATATTTAGTCACTCGAATTCAATTTTTAATGTAATAACGTCAGCCTCTGAACTCTGTTCTCCATTTTGGTTTATTTCTTGCCAGTATAGATCTTATTTTTCATGGTTTTGCTTTCGGACAGAGCTGTTTGTATGTCAGTAACGTTCCTTCTGGACCAATGCCTCGCAACTTTAATTATTACCACTCCCTTTGCTTTTCGTTTAATGATAATCTTTGTCTATTAATTTATTTACATTTCCTTTATTTTCCGGAAGGTGAATTTTGCCCTTGTTCTTCACAGTTGCTGTTGAATAGCGGAGTATTTCCAACACCTTATTTCAGATTTCCAGCCTCAGCAGCGTTTTGGTTTTACTTTTCTATCACTGCGCATGGGTACAGTGTGGTAGGTGTGCCCTCACTTGAAAGATTTCCGCCTTGTTTGAAGGCACATCCATTAGAAACAAGAAAATGCTGCAAATTCCCAAACAAGTTGATAGTACCTGTCCTGTGCAAATCAAAGTGTCAGCTCGAGGACCTTGATATAAATTCTGATTTCACCCCGCTTCCTGGGCATGCCCCTTCGTTCGTTGCGGTTTCTTATTCGTCCACCGATTGCACGTGATCGTTTGATGCCGGCACCCTCGTCACGATACGCATGCGTGTGGGACAGGCCTGCCTATATAAGCGGCTGCACGGCTCTTTTCGGTCTTTCGGTGCCGGGACGGAGTGAGGTTTGCGTGCAATGTGTATGGGCTGAGGCAGTGACCGAACACGCGGTGGCGGCCTACCGTTTGTAGAGCCTTGCTCACGCGGTCCATGAGGCGGTGTTCGAAGGGCACGGTCAGCGGCCCCGACCCCGGAGCGGTTTGGCGGCGAGGGGGGTGATTGCTCCTTGTCCTTCACCCCGTTCCGGCAGCGCGTGTAGGAGCAGGGCCCCTCGGCCTGGAGTGGGTCCGCCATGCAGCGTGAGCCCGCGGCTGCACTTTGCTGCCGTCCGGATCGTTCTGAGCATACAGTCAATCCCACCGTTTGAGGGCGGCTGAGGAATTTAGGGAAGGAGGGACAAACATTCCCCGGGAGCTGGCAGCTCACGTGTTGTGAAGGCGGGTCACATCTCGAACTGTAATTCTTTGTCTTCGAGGTCTCTGTTTCTGCTGGTGTTTGGTGATGACCTGAACTTTTTTCCCCATCAGATCGTTCATGCTGATTATGGGTGTTTTCAAGTCAAACTCTGTCTGATTAAACCAGCTGGTTAGGTTATGATGTAACATGTCTTACTAATTTCTAAGTGAATAACAAGTTAATATTTCTTCTAGGCTTATATGTACAGATGCTGCCACTAACGTTGCTGTACCAAACCCTTGTATGCAGGATGTTCCAGGTTGGTCAAAGTTTTTTTGCTTTTCAAGTTTGGCTTCGTATTTGAATGTCTGTGCAAGGATTATTGTACTAGATTAGTGATTTGCAGAATTTGATTTTGCCTGATGAAGGACTAACGAGCTGAAATCTTGAGACTTCAAATAAACCTGTTGGACTAACCTGGTGTTGAGTGACTGCTGACTTCATCCATCCCAGTCCAACAATAGGCGTGTCATTAAAGTCAAAATGTTTGGGAGATTTGAATAGACTATAGTATACACCTGTAGCATAAGTGTTGTCCCATTGTATAGGAACTAGTACTGATGGGTACAAGACAACTGGAAAGTTGCTGTAAATGTGGAGTTAAAATACCATGTTTGGTACGCCAGTTAGTTGAGGAAATTGAACGCAAGGGTCTGGGAAGTTCAAGGAGGAAAGGAGGTGTTTTATGCTTCTTTTCTCCTCCTTGTAAGTGTGGTTCATGCTCAAAAAGGCAAGGAGTTAGCTGAGTATCTAGTAATTGGCTATGATCTTTTCCTATTTCAATTCTTACTTAATTTGGGAAGGTGAGCATTACCTAGCGTGGGAAATGAGGGTCAGAGAAGAGATGGGGAAAACATTGAGTGGGTTCCGAATATTTGGGATTGTATTGCATTCAGGGATTCTAGGAATATTAGGAAGTAGAGGTTAATGACAATTCTTTAATATTGTCTAGTTTCAGGGATCAGGATGTAAAGCCGGTAGTGGTAACTTTCCCTCCAGCAGTAACATCTAATAGTGCTTTGAGTTTTAACTGTTTGGGCACGAAACCATGGGACCTAACCATGAAACCATGAGAGACGATGTGGACTTATTGGGCCAAATGGCCTGCTCCCACAATGTAGGGGTACTGTGATTCTATGATTAGATTCTGAAAAAGCATGGAACTCCAGTAATGCGTTGCAAGGTAGATGATTTTTCTGAAGAAGAGTCCCGACCCGAAAAGTAAACTTTCCTGCTCTTCTGCTGCCTGGCCTGCTGTGTTCCTTCAGCTCCACGCTGTTATCTCAGACTCCAGCATCAGCAGTTCTTACTATCTCCAGATGATTGAATTGAGAACAGCGGAGCACAATTTTTCAAGGAAGCAATTATTTATGAAGAACCTTGTGGCGAACTCGAGTCCTAGCTATTAGTTTGAATTGAATTAGCCTTTATTGTCACATATACTACATGAGTATAGAACATTACAGCGCAGTACAGGCCCTTCGGCCCTCAATGTTGCGCCGACCTGTGAAACCAATCTGAAGCCCATCTAACCTACGCTATTCCATTATCATCCATATGTTTATCCAATGACCATTTAAATGCCCTTAAAGTGGGCGAGTCTACTACTGTTGCAGGCAGGGCATTCCATGCCCTTACTACTCTGAGTAAAGAACCTACCTCTGACATCTGTCCTATATCTATCACCCCTCAATTTAAAGCAATGTCCCCTCGTGCTAGCCATCACCATCCGAGGAAAAAGGCTCCCACTGTCCACCCTATCTAATCCTCTGATCATCTTGTATGTCTCTCTTAAGTCACCTCTTAACCTTCTCTCTAATGAAAACAGCTTCAAGTCCCTCAGCCTTTCCTCATAAGACCTTCCCTCCATACCAGGCAACATCCTGGTAAATCTCCTCTGCACCCTTTCCAATGCTTCCACATCCTTCCTATAATACGGCGACCAGAACTGTACGCAATACTCCAAGTGCGGCCGCACCAGAGTTTTGTACAGCTGCAACATGACCTCATGGCCCCGAAACTCAATCCCTCTACCAATAAAACCTAACACACCGTACGCCGCCTTAACAGCCCTTTCAACCTGGATGGCAGGTGGACATGGACACCGAGATCTTTTAGTGAAATGTTTATATGTTGCAAGTGTAGTTGACTGTACAGTGCTTTTAATATAGTCCAGCATGCAGGATGTCAAGGAATTGCAGTTGTTGTAGCTCTTTTTGAATTAGTATTATTAAAATTGAGTGCATATCGTTTATTGTTTTCTTCATCAGAACAGATGCTGCAATGAATATTGGTACGCAGAGAGGCCATGTGGATAACTATGGTATGTAGATAATTTAGGATTGAGTGACTATTTGTATGACTCAGTGAATGATGTAAATTTCTTTCCCCGTCTTATCGATCATGGTGATTTGTACAAATAAGCCAAATACTTCTGACACTGAAAAAGTTGTTTATATTTTGAGCCAGTGCATCATTCCACTTCTCTCAGTGTGGTGTTTCTTCCTCTAGGAACAATGTTTTGCAGATCTTAATTGAAATTGGTGTGCATTGAAAGAATCTTAGAAAGGACCAGCATAAAGAGGTGGTTGTGGAGAATGAAGTGCCGTTAAGGTATATGGATGATTTGAGTGATTTTACTTTTTTAATTATTTGCCTATTCACTGTGTTATTCAACATGTATTTTTCGTTCTGTTTACAGGATTTAGAGAAACCTGAGTGATGTTTAATCGTCATTAATAAGCTGGAGAGTTGCCTCTAATGACACCTTAATGCAATTATCACTACAACAGCATTCTACTGTAAATTTTGAAAAGTGAAACTTTGTAAACATTAATTAGTATAAGATTGAGCTTCAGTGGTAAAAGTTTACTTTTTTCTGAAGATTGTATGCTTTACCTTAAATTGCCTAATAAATACTCATTAAACTAAACTAAATTTGCTGCATGTATTTGTGAAAGTAGGTTTCAGTCTGAGATCTGACTTGTCCAGTCATAGGTGAGCTGACATGTCAGCTCCTACTATTATTTAATGAAACAAACTTTTATGTATGGCTACATGAAGTTGAAACACAAGTACCAAATGTCATTTCTTGCTGGCATTATATTTGCATGTGCCACATTGAAGTCCATTATCAATCAGTCAATATGGGTAATTTGTTCATGACTTTTAATTCTTCCCTAAAAATACTAATTTACTCAAGTTTAGATGAAAATGAAAAATTGCAGATGCTGTAAATAAAACAAAAATGGGGAAATTGCTGGAAAAACCCCTTGTGTTTTGAGTTCCAGTTCTAAAGAAGGGTAAGGGTCATTACCTAAAGCATAAACTCTGCTTCCTCTTCACATGGTGTCAGACCTGCTGAGTTTCTCCAGCAATTTCTGTATGCCTGTTTAAAATCTTAGTTTCCTTTTCTGTTCTGTTGTTTGAGCTCTAGGTGTGATAATCAGTAGGGTTGAGAGAAAAGGAAACTTTAGAATTAGTTGTGCCACTCAAAAGTTGAGTGCCTTGGGATGCAAGAAGTGTGTGCAGAATCAGTTAAGCTTTAAGATGCTAGGTAAGCATATTGTTGGATGCAAGCCAAAGGTGTGTAAATGAAGGTGATGACACAAAAGAACTAACTGCTGAATCTTGGAATCTGAAACCAATTCAGCGGTGTTCTTTTTCCCTAGCGGAGACTGAAATTTAAACTGCAAAGTGATAGATTTCTGGCAGTGAGAGGAACAAGATATGCATTTAAAGGCAGTCTGGTGAGGGAATGGGCTAAACTGGATTGCTGCCAAAGTGCTGGTGTAGGTGAAATGATGAAAACCATCCCAGTTCTGATTCTAAAATTGCAGCTGTTTATTGGTGTTAAACCACTGAATTTACTTCACCCATGTGTTAGTAATTTTGGCCATCTGAAGTTTTTTCTTATTTTTCCATGTAATAGTTGGGCATCAAAAAGCAATTGTTCAACACCGCTCTGCTCCTATCACATAGACAAATGTCTTTAATCTCATGGGATTTAATTTTGCTAATATTGTTAGCGCTAATGCATTTTTTGAAATTCCTATTGCTGCAGTTTCAGTGGAGAAAATGATCTATATATTAGAATAATTCAAGCATCTTCTAAATTGAATTTATTAATAGCATGCCAAAATCTCTATCTGCTGTAAGTATATTGCAAGACCATTCAATCTCAATTGAAGTACTTGGGATGCATTTGCAGTTCCAGGCTAGTTGTCTACTTGCCTGAGCTGATAGTTTTGCATTTTAAGTTTACAGTACATTATAGCACTGAGTACAGCATCACTGGTACACGAGAAATTAATGTGCCCTCTGGTGGTTGAAATCAGATATGCAATCCATATTTTCCTTGAGTGTCCAAAATAAATTATGCTGTTTGAAGTTAAAGAAAGAAGATAAATATGTTTGTGAATCATGAAAGTTTACGCTCAAATGTATAACAAGTAAATAGGACAGTAAATATACTGGTGGCTTTTGTTGCAAGGTGACAGTATAAAAGTAGTGGAAGTATTGGCTTCACTGTACAACAATTTACAATAGATCTAAAGTATTGCATTGGAGGAGGTTTGCTACATTGATTCCTAGGCTGAAGAGTTTTCATGCAAGGCAAGATTCAGCAGCTTGGGCCTATGTTCAGTAAATCTTAATTTAACAAGAAAAGCTTAGATTTTGAGTGGGTTTGACAAGGTAGATAGTGAAAAGATGTTTCCCCCATGTTGTGGAAAACTGCCTAATGCAAAATATTGTTTCATTTTAAGATTTGGTATCGGTCAAGCACCAAACTCCCCTGTCTAAAGGATATTTTGTTCTGCACAGTCAGAACAAGTGCTGATTTCATCTGAGACAAAGGCAAGTGAGTTTATCTGAGATAACAAGGTGTAGAGCTGGATGAACACAGCAGGCCAAGCAGCATCATAGGAGCAGGAAGGCTGATGTTTCATGCCTAGTCTAGGCCCGAAACGTCAGCCTTCCTGCTCCTATGATGCTGCTTGGCCTGCTGTGTTCATCCAGCTCTACACCTTGTTATCTCATTCTCCAGCATCTGCAGTTCCTACTATCTGAGTTTATCTGAAAAGTTGGATCAGTGGGAATTCCGTGCTTGGGACAAACATGTTTTATGTAAGCCTTTCTACAAATAGTGGCCTCTAGAGCGAGAGGACCATTGATCAAGAGGCAGACTACCAACAGTGTGATGCCATGAACCATAAGGTAATGCAAATGTAATGAAAGAGGTTGTTTGGGGAGTGTGATTAATGAAAGTTCCTAGTGTTGAAAGCAAATGTTAGGTCTTCAGTTTGTGATTTGTTCTCTTTTTTTTCTCAAAAGTTTGTCAAGATGCATCTGGTAAGCAGCAGGGATTCTGGAGTAATTTTATTTAAATATGATATGATACTGATGGTGGGAGAGTGAACTAGAATGAACACCTATAGAAATCATTTCAGCTCAAGGAATTTTTAGATCTGGGTTGAGTTGAAGTCTGAGCTGCAGACAATGCACATGGTGCAAAGTTACATGGACGCCTTGCTCCAGCAGATGGTCTCTCACTTCAGACTAATTCATCAAAATATATATTTGATCAGGGTTAAGATGGTGTGACTGAAAGTGAGGCAGCTATGAGGACCCAGGGAACAGCATTTGAGGAGCCTTTCCATCTCTAATTGTGCATGAACCTCAATGTGTGAATGAGGTTTGACATTGCAGAGAACATGAGTGAATAACAGTATCATGGTACAGGGAGCTATTCAAGTTGGGGGAGGAAAGTGGTAGGGGAAACTAATGAATGGGGAAGATACTGTTACATGAAGCTTTGAGCTTAACTTCTTAAAGACCGTGTTGCCTGCTTAGTGCTAAGATTAAGGACATTGCATGCAAACAGGCATTATGGTAGAGTTAAGGAGTTCAGTACATTGCTTAAAGATTAGTATGGGAGGAATGAGTTTCAGTTCATGGGGCACTGGCACGAGCCTGGAGTAGAAAAAGCTGTTCAATGGATCAGGCTTCACTTGAACCATGCTGGAATTAGCATCCAGATGAATTGAATAACCAAGGTTGTAGAGGGGTGTTAAAACTAATTAGCAGGGGAAACATAGGCTTACAAAGCAAGAGGATGTGGCAGTATTCTAGCAGACATTTTGATAACAGTACCCACAGTGGGACATGAATTGTCAGTGTACAGCAACAAACAGGGTCAAAGAGTGGGGGGGGTGGATGGTGAGAAAATTGTAAAGGCAAAATTAATGTCCCAAATGGTTTGGGAGACAGTTACCTTAGCTGGTTCGCAATGCCAATGGATGGGTTCAATTCATGCACTTGAGGTTACAAAGAAGAAATCTCAACCTCTCCCCTCACCTGAGGTGTGGTGACCCTCCAGTTAAAACCACCACCAACTATCTCTAGTGGTCCTATCTCCTATGGTCTGAGTCTTTATGTAGCATTCAAATCAAACTAAATGAATTAATGGCGAAAAAAAAGTTATAGGGCATGCTCTTACAGCCGTTGTGAAGACATTGTTAGAAGATGCTGGAAAAGTAAATATTCAGGGGCATGTCACTTTTTGAAGAGATAGACAGGAAGGAAAGGATAATCAGGTAGCTTTGTACGTACAATAGTAATAAATAAGAGAAAAGAATCCATATGGATGGACTTAAGAACTAACGAGGGATAGAAGACTGGTGGGTGTAGCCATATTAGAATCAGAATTAGCTTTACTGTCACGTGCGCTTGAAGAGTGCTGTGAAACGTTTGCAACATCGCTGCTTGTTCACTGTGTTATTCAACATGTATTTAGGTACAAGGTACCTGGGTACAGATACGTCTGTGTTTGGTACAGAGGTGGAAGAATAATAAAAGCCCAGCAGAAGAATAAACAGGGAGCCCATTGTCAATAATAAAGGGATGTTGTAAAAGGTAGTATATTAATCATGGTTGACTTTAATCTTCATGTTGATTGGGAAAATCAAACTGGCAGAGATAGCCACAAAGAAGAATTCACAGTATATTTGGGGCAATTTTCTATGTTACCATATGATGAGGGATTAAGTTATTTTGAAAGTGGTAGTGTAAAATGGAACAGGTTTAATAAATGTTTTTGAAGTAAAAGATCACTAAGGAAGTATTGGCAAACATGATAGAATTTTGCGTTTAGATTTAGACTTTATTATCACTTGTACTCCAGTCTGACAGTACGGGAGTACAGTGAAAAATGTAGTGTCAATCTTAGGTACAAGTACGTAGGTACAAAACGTTAAGAACAAAGTAGAAATAAACAACAAAGTTAAAAATTAAACATTACAGACCTTCAAACTATTAAGTAGAAAAATAAAGTAGTAAGGCTAAATGTTTAAACATTAGAAAGATGTAAAGTGCTTAGCCATGTTGGGACTGCCTTCCTACAAGGGTTCAGTCTCCTCCACTTTGGCACACTTGCCCCACACAGTCC